ATGCAGCCCCATACCAACAAACTGTGATGCACTGTGTGTTTTTACACCTTTCTATCAGAACCAGCATTAACTTTTTCAGCAGTTTGAGCTACAATAGCTCGTCTGTTGGATCAGACCACACACTCCAGCATTTGCTCACCACGTGCGTCAGTGAGCTATGACCCTGTCTCCAGTTCACTGCTTGTCCTTCCTTGGACATGGAAATTGGAAATTAATTGCTGACATTTTGAATTGTAAGAAAAACTGGTATTAGTTAAAATTATATTATTAATATGTTGGCTCGGAAATAGTGAAAATGCAGTTTTTGATATCTACAATTGCTATCACTTCAATTTATTAAATGTTAAATGGCTTGCCATCGTGGGAAATGTTTATAACTACATACAACTAGTAGACCTTTAAAAGAAGGACATCTATCTGAGTAACATCACATTTTTATGGTTGCATTACAGATATAGTGGAAAGGAGAACACAACAAACATGGTGATCCTGGATATCAAAATTCTCTCTGGATTTGTCCCAGACCCAGAGTCTTTGAAGAGGGTGAGTTATTACAGTAAATTCAACCTGAGTAGAAATTGAATAGTTTTCATCTGTTTTTGATGAACAACCCAGCTAAATATGGTCTCCTCACAGCTCAAAGGTGCTCTGCTGGTGGATCGCGTTGAACAAAAGGAAGACCATGTTCTTGTGTACATACAGGAGGTGAGAGGAATTCACATTGAGGAACAATAAATTATGCTCTTCAGATTTGTTACTGATGGCGTCTTGTTAATCTTCCAACAGTTACCAAAGGACATACCCATCAACCACAGCTTAGAGCTCATACAGGAGCTGCCAGTGCAGAACCTGAAACCAGCCGTGGTCAAGATCTATGACTACTACCAGCCAAGTAAAACCCTAAGTCCCTTTACAGATCATAGCACACACTGACAAACTCCCTAGTCGAGTTGTACAAACAAACTGAAAGTTATCAGAGTTCTAATTTTAAAGTACTACATTTTTTAATATGTTAGACTGTTGAACACATGAAGAAAGTTTGACTATTTTTGTTTTTTCTCTCTTTTATCTCTCTTCTACTTCTTACTTTATCCTCAGGTGACCAGGCAGAAACAGAATATATCTTCCCTTGTGTTGCAGGTAACAATCTGTAATAACATACACAAGCACGACCACGTTTATTGAGCCATTAAATGTCCAAAAAGACTTAAATGAGCCAGTTTTGTAAATTAACTAAACAACTGATGTAGACTGTAAGTGAATTATTCTTTTATTCTTTCTTTTGCAGCTTGAAGAGTGTCATGTGGTCAGTCCTCAGGTCATCACTGATTCCAGTATAGTTTAAAAAATCCCTGCATTTTATTACAGATACATTTTATGTACCCTGTGTAACTCCATATTTGTTAATGTAAACTTACACGAACCGTTAACATGTGTTTGCTTTTAAGATAAATTAATGGACAATAAAATAAATTGTCCCACTTAAAACAGTTTTTCCAGTGTTTATTCTCTCTGCAGTTTATCAATGTATTGTTGTATGTTGTATTTCATCCACTTACCAGAAGTTGTTCAGGACAGATTAATGAGGAAAGTCGAATTACGTTCAAGAAGGCAACAAGTGTTCTATTGGCTTTCTTTGGAGTCATTCATTTAAGTACGGTTTAGACTTTGCTGATTGGAAGATAGTATGTTATTTAAGCTGTGGTATTTTAAAATCACATAGGCCGTGCACTGTTGCCTCACAGCAAGAATGTTGTGGGATCGAACCTGCCAGTCTTCCTGTGTAGAGTTTATGTTCTCCCTGTGCCTGCCTGGGTTTTCTCCAGGGGCTCTGAAGGTATGAATGTGAGTGTGAATGGATGTTTGTCTTTATGTGTTAGCACTTTGATTAACTGGCCATCTGTCCAGGTTGTACACTGCCTCTCGCCCAGTGACAGCTTGGCTCAGCTTTAGCAACACACAACCTTCTGAAGGATAAGCAGGTTTTGCTTAAGGGTTTTATATTTTATGCATTTGCGGTAGTTTAGTAATCCACGGTAGTACTGTTGTGTAGGAACCGTGACGTTTTGGCACCGCGAGTACCATGCAACACTAAATGTTTAAATCACAGCCCTACGTTGTATACGCCTCCCTGTAATTCACTCACTCATTAGGCTACTCTGCTCAGGCCGTGACTAGCAGAGACAACCATGTTGCTGCTGATCAGTGTGCTTGCAGCAGCAGGGCATTATAATTCATTACTTGTGTTGTTGTTGTTGTTGTTGTGAACGTACGGCAGGCTGTAGCCAACGATATATAGCGCAATTCATTACTTATGGGAAACGTTTCAAGAGCAACAGGCTTCTCCAAGCAGCACAGCACAATGGAGAAGTGGGTGTAATGCGGAAGACGTAGCCAGGTCAAACCAACCAATAGAAACTCTCCTCTCGTCCACCAGCGTAGGCCCCGCCCATCAAGTGCAGTTAAATTCGCAAGCAAAACTTTAGAACTTCCAAGCAAAGAGGACTGATTTATAAGCAAACTGGTCGTATGTTTTTACTTACAAATATTAGTTTTGATCGAAGTTGAAGAAATATGTTCTCTCATATTTTTTTTTCAATTGCAACCTGTTCTGTCTCGATCTCCCAAAAAATTTTTGGGATTGCCACTTACTCTTTTTTGCTCTCAAATCTCTTTTTTGGTTTCAAATCTATTCTATTTGATTGAATAATAAAGGAACAAAATTCTCTCCATACCCGCGATACCTCACACTGTGTTCAAAAGCCGAGAATTCTGCAACCCAGCACTGCTCTGTCTCACCCAGCTTGGCAGTGTCCAGATGGCTCAGGGGGTTGCTATCAGTCCAAACAACACACAGCTGGCCCCACAAGTACTCTGAACTTCTCTGTCATCACCCACGTCATGCCGAGAAACTCCCAACTACATGAAAGTATAGTTCTTTTCTGCTGGGTGCAAACTCCGGCTAGCATATGCAGCTGGCCGCACCTTTCCACATTACCCCCAAGCTACTGTGGCTGGCATCGACCTCGAGAATGAAAGGGAGGGAGAAATTAGCCAAAGGCCAGGGTGGGGGCATTTACTAAGCAGGCCTTTAACTCGTTGAAGCTCCACCTCACAGCTCTCTGACGAGAAATCCCCCAGCACTGACCTCTGTCCCCTCTGTGTCTTCACTCCCTCCAGCTCAGCAAAGCCTACCACAGAACTCCTGTTATTGCTGGCAAAACCTAGGATGGACCTGCGTTCAGAGACATTAGTAGGATGGGTCCAGTCAGCAACAGGTGGCAGCAACCACCTCAACGTCTAGCTCTAGGTAGCCAATATAGGGGATTTTCAACCCATAGGGGGCTCACAGCTGCAACCAGTGACATGACTGTAACTTATCTTAAAAGTTTTGCTGCAAAGAAACTCTCCCGTATAGTATAAAAAAAATAACATTATTTTAACCTGTGTTGACATACATCTTGTAAAACGTCTGACATACATCTTGTAAAACGTCTGACATACATCTTGTAAACGCTCTCTGACAGCTGAGATTAGCTACTGCATACATTCTCTTAACTTCAGAACATCGTCTAATTGAATTCATATCGCCAAATAAAGAAAGTTCTGGTACAATTCATTCACGCATCTCTTTCTCACTTCTTTTCTGTCATCTCTCCACTATTGGGATTAAATAATGAAAACAAGAACTGTGATTGGCTCCTTGTGTTTCCTAAACTGAACTTTGATGGCAGAGTGGAGATTGTTGATAGTGAAGACAATGACCGTATCTCAGAGCATATCTCCATTCTTCTCCTGCCAACTTACTCCCAGCTGATTAAAAGGGTCAAATCATCAGAAATAACAGGAATAGTATTGACAGATGAAGCTACAGCAGGTCTAATTTGAACACATACGTTCAGGCTGCCTTTGCCATGGTTTTGGGTTTTATGTGCATAGTATAGTGTTGCAGGTGCTAAAAATCCAAACCTATGCCGTAGGTATTCATGGTGGGACTCGTCAAGCATGAACATGGCTTACTCTGTTGAGTGAGGTTGTTCATATTTAGCTGCCTTCACTTTCAAACCCTCGTTTTCTCTGTCCAACACACGTGCACATTTTACATTGCTGGTCATTGCTGTTTTTTTGGACATTGATTCTCTTGTCCTTACCCTTGACAGCAGATGTGTGGGTGTTGCACTTTTTTGTGTTGTAACCCACCATCGTTGTTTGAGGATGACCACAGAGTCCACATAGGTTTGCTTACTGGAAGATGGCCTAATCAGGATAATCACTGTTTATATGGCAAAATCAATGTTTACAGGGCACTGCTGCGGTTACTTCATACATCAACTAGATTTGCTGCTGGCCTCCAGAGGGGTTACGCCTTCGTCGCCTCACAAAAACTGTATGAGCTCATCAGCAGTCATGTGGCCACGCATTACTATCTCGTGGCCACGCGTTATTATCTCGTGGCCACGAGATAGTAATTCTTTGCAAGACACAACACAACACAAGCTTTCCGATGACGTCACTTCATAACGTTCCCATGGCAACAGGAGGAAAATGGCTGCTCTTGTGTAAAATAAACGCAACATTTTTCAACTTTCTGCGAAGATATATGTGCCTGGACAGGGTCAGATTCGAAACCTGGGCTGCTGCAGCAAGGGCTTCCATAGACCTCTTTTGTTTAGGATAAACAATCTGTGTTAATAGAACAAAGACAAGAAAAGACTTTCAAAAACGAGGTCTATGGAAGCCCTTGCTGCAGCAGCCCAGGTTTCGAATCTGACCCTGTCCAGGCCTTTGCTGCGTGTCACCCCCCCGTTACTATCAATTAAAGGCAATAAAAGAGAAATATAGGAAGTTTATATGATTTGATGATTGTTAAAAATTTAAATTTGTCACCTTGGTTGTAAGTTTACTCAATGAGAGGAAAGGGGTCCCACAAGGAAAATTGTTGGGTAACCACTTCTGTAAATGATTGACTTAAAGGATACCCAGAAATGATGAGTCTGTTTGTGTGATATGGGTGAAAGAGGGATAGCAAACAATGTTAGTTTAACAGACACTAGAGTCTGAGGCTCATCTCAGTCAGTCATGGGTCATCTTGGGATTCAGATGTGGACATGGACCGTGTGTGTCCTCTTGAGCTGGATGTGTGTGGGTCAAGCAGTGGCAGGACCGTAAGTTTATCTGTACTATTTAACAGAATAATAATAGTGTGTTTTTTTGCTGTCAGATCCAGTGAGGTATCTCCTGTATGTGTGTATGTTTCTGTGTCTGTAGGCAGTACATGGTAGCCATACCTGCGGTTCTTGAAGCTGGAGCTGAGACCAAGTTCTGTGCGAGTCTCCTGCAGCCCAACGAGACTCTGGTCATGACCGTCACTTTGATGTCCCAAGAGAAGAATACAACCCTCCTCCAGAAGACATCCAGTGAAGCATTTCATTCCTGTGAGCAGTTTCAGGTCAGCTCTTCAGATCTTTGATTCATTTGCTCAATGCCACAACATTCTTTGAAAATGCAACATTCCTTAAACTGGAAACTTAAAGTCACAATGCTGAAAATAAATAAATGTTTTTGTAATACAGAATACATTTGTGATTTTAAGTTTTAACAGTTTGACTTACTCAAATCAATCTTGGTGTCTCTAAAATATCCTTATGTCACAGGCTCCTTTAGTGCAGAATGAAGTGGTGCAGACGTTAGAGGTGAAGGTACGAGGCAACACATTTTACTCCAAAGAAGTCAGGAAAGTCAAGATCAAAGTCTATCAACCAGTGACATTCATCCAAACAGATAAACCAATCTACCTCCCTGGACAAACAGGTAACTCTGAGCTGATTTTCTATGATTTACAAAATATGGTAGAGTATCCCCTTTACAGAAATATGTGGATGTGCACACAGCACTGGGTGGAAAACTCATCGCCACTATGTCATTATATCTTATAGAGAGGCATTTCTAAGGGTTAGGGTTAATGGAAATCAGACAAATTACTGTCCAGAAGTTAATCTGTATGCAGCACTTTCATTTTCTGCAACTTCTTTTTACTAAAAGACTACTTTTTACTAGTTTGCTTTCTATCCCTCACTCAGGCACCAGTCTATAATTTCTCAAATTGCAGCTCACTGCATGCTGCAATTCAGATGCCCTGTAACAATAAACTGGGATAAAAAGAAGACAAAAAATGAATGGCATATAGAATAGCTGAAGGAGTGTGTCACATTGTCTTTGATTAAGAACTGTTCTGTTAAATAATGCCAGACAGATAACAGTAAGTTGATCATTTGTCAGTGCCGTAGATGAGCTGTAAAAGCTTCATTTAATCTCTTTTCTCTCACATTTCTCTCAGTACATTTCAGAGTCGTCTCACTGGACACCAAACTGAGACCTGCCAGTCAGCTGGTGAGTGTTTGGACTGTCTCTCTTTTCTTTTAGATCTCATTTAGAGGTGTCCTGTGCTGATCCTAAAGACAAGTATTGGGACTGATCTGAGCATTTTAAATGAATCTAGAGATGAGCGTTGTTGATATTTTCATTAGTAACCTGTAATGTAATGTAACCACTTTACAAACAGAGTGTTTCTGTTGACCCAACTACTCCAGAGGGAGCTGGTCTCTTGACATTAACTTAAAAAGTCAATGTAACCTTTTGAACCAGGACCTTCAGTACTTGGATCAAGTAGCTTGTAAACAATATGGTGTCAGACGTATCTATTATATCAATGTGTCATACATATTTAATCAATATTTAGTTACATATCAATATCAGTTAACATTGTGGAAATGAAAACCAGTATTAGTGACACTGTTTGATAGTGGTGCAGGTGAGCTGGAATATACACACCAGCAAGTGGAGTCAGTTATGTAATATATTGACTTACACTGGTGATCAATGTGTGTGCTCTTCAACCAGAGTTAAGTCTCCAGTCTGCTGCTGGTGAAGCTCTGGGTCAATAGTACACCCAGGGCCCCTTTAGGTAAACTAAACTGTGCTGCTTTTAAATATTTTTGCTGACACAATAAATCTGTAGACCCTTATACCAAAAAATTTTATAAACTATTAATCAGAATTACATACACTGAGACGGAGAGTTCATCTGAGTGTCGACTGTTCATCATTGATGTCTTACAGAAAAATGTCTAACCAGGACTCATGAGGACCCACTGTGATGATAACAATGTAAACCGACTTGTCCTTTACCTATCTTTCTCTTTTTCTTTTTTTTTTTTTTTGCAGTACAATATCATCGAAATTAAGGTAAAATATTATTCATGCAACATTGTTTTTTTTATGTACATTCAGTAAATTTTTGACAAACCAAACTTTCTGTGAGCTGTAACCTCAAAACTCAACTCCCAAATTTCTTATGTCGATGCTGACATCAAGATTTCACAGTATGAAATGTATGAATGATAATGTAAGAACAGTAGATTTCTACAGCAAACGTCAATGAAAATTAATCTGTTATATGTCATAACAACACATACCTGAAAAATTACATTAAATGCAACCTTAAAAATTCATTTTTGGGGCACCCTGAAAGCTCACCTGGTAGAGCTGGTGCTCCATGTACCAAGACTGAGTCCTTGCTGCAGTGGCCATGGGTTTGAATCCGACCTGTGGCCCTTTCCTGTCTATCTTCAGCTCACCTATCCAACAAAGCCAAAAAGCCCATAAAACATACATTAAAGGTCAACTGACCATTGAAACTAAAGAAACTGAACTAAAAATTCATACAAAGTTTTAAAAGCGTGTACTGTAGATTCTAGCATCCTGCTACAGTCTTCATCAGTTGATATAGTTTGCTCAGTTTTGTTTTTCTTTTTGTTTTTGTACTGCACAAAATCCATTCAAGACTGTTATATTCAAACAGTGATATAAAAGCTAGTAAGTGGAGATTTTGTCAAACTGCATTAGACTTGATGTTAAAGGGATATGAAGCAATTATATATGCTTTTCTTTGTTCATATATCTACAAATACACTATACACACTGATGTCAATATATCAGCAAGTGGGCACTAATATAAGCCTGCCAATACATTGGTCGAAAACAATGTTTTTCATACAACAAGTACAATTTGATACTCTTTGAATGTAGCACGATTAGCACTGTATTTCTGTGTGGCATGTACATATTTTCTGTTTTAGTACCAGTTCTTCCCATTTATTTTATCAATCAGGATGCTAACAGCAACAGGATTGGACAGTGGCTGAACCAAACATCCAATGGTAAAATACTGCAGCTTTCTTACTCGTTGAACTCTGAGGCCCGTGAAGGAAGCTACAGCGTTATTGTGTCAATTGGTGAAAGTAAACTGTATCACAGCTTCAAGGTGGAGAAATATGGTATGTTGATTTTTATTCCCTTCTGTTTCCATCCATTTGTAATGTAGCAAGAATGCTAACATTCATATTTTGTCTCTAGTTTTGCCCAAATTTGATGTAAAAATAGATTCATCTGATGAATCAAATATTGAGCAGGAAGAAATCAAAGCTGAAGTATGTGCAAAGTAAGTAAAAGGCCTTTCACTCATTATACTCAATACTTAACACTTAAATCATCTAAAAAGGATCCAGTATGGTGAGTGACAACAACACAATTGTCTATGTCCATCTAATAAGGTACACATATGGACAGCCTGTGCCAGGCAGTGTTAATGTTAAGGTGTGCCGACCCCTTCAGCGCTATTTCTATGGTACCCCTGTAATCACCACTGAACATCCAGGGGGAGTCCCTGAGTTCATTTCCCCATGCTACAAGGAGACAAAGCAGGTACAGCTGCCATGGCGACCGTCTCATTTCTCTCTACTGAAACTATGTGAATATAAAGGTAGACCATACATGTGCTATACAGTGTGTGTGTGTGTGTGTGTGTGTGTGTGTGTGTGTGTGTTTATTGTATTCCATAAAAAATAAAAAAAAAAGTGGAGCAGAGGCAACTTCTGCATTGTTTCAGTTTGTTTAATCATGTTGTCGAGGGAATTGTTTTAACAACCATTTAGGACTGGGGTCATCTTCACATCTTATTTAAAATAACCAGCCTTTGTCAGAGCACTTCCCTTATAAGCTAAAACCTGTATTACGACAACTAGCTGGTCTTGCCTTGGGAGGTTTCAGCATGTGTGTATCCATTTCTTTCAGCATGATCAGAGATCTTTTGAAGTGTGTTTCCCTGTTAGAAAAAACAGATTTTGAAAATTACAGGTTTGTGTTTTGGCCAGGTTTGATGTTTCGTTTCTTAAGTCTTGCATGCAGAAAAAACTTCCACCAACACTTTAACAATAGTAAAGCCAAAGTAAATGGAGCAGAGTTACTTTTAAATGAACTCGGCTTCTGATACAATGGATGAGATTTAATTACCACCACCATTTCAAAAAGGCCTACAGAAGGAACATTAAGCTGTACTGCAATAAGCGAAAAAGGGAAAATACGTATACGTAAATACGTAATATAAGTATTATGGAAAAATTTAAAGAAATATAGAAACATAGGTTTTGAATTAGAATTAGGGTACACATTTTGTAACTTAATTAGTAATATAGGTATGAAATGGGGAAAGTTTAAAATGTACTTCCATTCACATTTTCATTTTATTTCTTTTTATTTTATTTTATTGTACTTTATAGACGGACAAGAAAGGCTGTGCCACTTTTACTGTCAAGATGTCCACATTCACAAAACTTGACAAAAAGGTTCTGTTTGATCATCTGCAACTCAGTGCCAAAGTGGTAGAGGAGGGGACAGGCAAGTCTTACATTTATAAACAGTTAGTACATACAGAAGATTACAGTGCTGTGAATTTAAACAATGTGGCATAGACAGTTGTAACATAGAGGCTTCTTTTACAGGTATTTCACACCCACGAGAGAAGAGAATAACCATTTCATATGTTGTTGGAAAGCTGTCCTTCATTGACACACCCAAGATTTACGACCGAGGATCAAATGTGGAGGGAAAAGTAAGTGCATGTCTCTTCTTGAGTGTGATTCTCTACACAAAGTGCAAAGGAAGTTTCATTCTCAGTGATAAAACTTGTTCTTCCAACAGGTCAAAGCTGTTTATTACAATAATACACCCATTGCTGACATGCCAGTGTACCTGTCTGAGGGTAATTCATGGTCATCACGCCGGCTGCAGAACCTCACAACGAACAGTGACGGTGTCGCAACTTTCTCATTTAGCACAGCTGACTTTAATGGGGACATCCACCTCCATGTAAGTAAGAACACTCAAAAGGCCAACCAGGGAATGTGTTTGATGAGCAAACTAGAATTATGTTCGTATTAATTGAACCAATTGTCTTTATGTTCATTAAATGATTTATCAGAGATAATTGATAAGAATGAAATCAACCCATGTTGGTCCAACAGAAACAAATTATTTTGTGTGATATTGACTTGTTGGCTTTTGTTCCATCCCCACGTGGTTTGTTGTAGGTTTTTATTCAGTCTTTCAGGATTAAGCAGTTGTGTTGGGCCAACTTAGTGTACTTGTGTTGGATCAATTTGATTTACTAGTGTAATTTTACAACTGTGAAATTAGTTAAATCAACCCAACTAAATTAAAGTTCATTCAAGGAATACTTATTTTTTTTAATGACACTAAAACTGCATCTGTAAATATAATTTGTCAGTCACATCAAGCGCTTTAATGAAGTTGATAAGAAGCTGAAACCATAAATGGAGCCGCCATAGCTAGCGGCCATATTGGAACTGTTTACATTTGCTTTAGCGGTAAAGACTGAACTCACTTTCCGAAGCTTTCTGGTTTCTTTTCTGCACCCTAGGTTAGCAACAAACTGACACGGGAGTACTCTGCTTATAGAACTGCATACTATCAGGATGCAGATCACAAATTGTCTTTGGCCCAGCCTCCCTCTCTACATACTAAAACTGTCAGCTCCCTAGAGGTGAAGAAGAAGGATACACCACTTCCCTGTGACAGTGATGAAAACATCTCCATCCGATACACTGTAGTTGGAGAGGCTCAGGGCTCTGTGGATGTGATGTATCTGGTGAGTGGTGGGTGAACTATTTGTCTGCTTGTCTTCCAGGGACATGCACATCAGGAAGTTAAAATTGCCTGTTAAAATCTGATTATTGACATCTGTCTGAAAGGAACACACTTGTTAGCATGGACTATGATGAGTTATAGTAATGGATATAATGACAACCTGGTTGGCCTTCAAACAAAAATCTGCTCTCACTTGATTTTTCGAAAATATTTAGGTGTTAAACATTTTTGTAGACTCATTAAATCAAAATTAACTATTACAACATCATTGAAGCTAAACACTGGCTTTCAAGTTGTCTCACTGCCACTATAATTTCTCCTACACGCTTTACAGCCAGTTCTCATTCCCAGGTCGTCAGATACAGACGGCAGCAGTGTTTAGTTAGTTGCAAGTTCACCGCTAGATGCCACTAAATTCTACATACTGGTCCTTTAAGTAGTGTCATACAGCAATAAAACAAAATGTATGATTAAACATTATGAAGTTACTTGAGTTTATAGACTCAATAATTTGTCATACAAATAACATTTGTATTTGCACACTGCAAATTGCCAAAAGTTTCCAAATATTGTGCAAATTTTATTCAAATCAGCAAAAGAAAATAAAAATGAATATGTGTTTCCAGTCACTGCTTTTATCTGTATAGTAGGAATTGAGCACTTCAAGATTAACAAATGATGACGTTAATTCTCGAGTCACATGACATTAAATTATTGCAGAAGAAGAGCATTTAACAAAATAAAAAGAGCATCACTAAAACCTCAAATAGAAAATAAATATGACATTTATGTTTATCATTTATTTGATTTCATGTTTATTTAGCAGAGACAATGCACAATGCATGTATTTTACCAGATACAGCTAAAAGCTCATTTTCATCTGTAGTCCCTGGGCGGGGTCCACTAGTACGCAGGTTACAAAGATAAAAGATCAAATCATGTATTCATTTGAGGAAATTAAGTTTTACTTTTGCATTATAATTTTTTTGTGTCATATTTTTTCAAAATTCCCCAGGTCTTATCCAGAGGAGCCATTGTCACGCAAGGACTTAAACAGGTTGAAGTTCGAGATAAATCAGGTGGGTAAACAATGACGTCTTTAAATTAACCTCTAAATTAGCATGACCAAATAATTTCTGAACTGCATACTTACTGATCTATGGATGCAAGTGAAAGATGATTGTTATTAATATCGGCCTGTTGTTTCAGTGAATGAGGGCGAAGTGTCATTCAAGTTGAAAGTGTCTGCAGAGATAGCACCAGAAGTCCAGATTGTGGCCTACACCATCCTCCCCAGTGAGACTGTCATCGCCCACAGTGCTGACTTCTCCACCGAGAAATGCTTCAGTCACAAGGTCAGTATAAGAAGACTTGGCAACAGCTGTGATTGTCAGATGTGAGTTAGGACTCAAAGTGTAATAATTTGTGTCCCAAAAGGTCAGTATGTAGTCCTTCAACAATTATATAATTAATGATGACCACAGTAGTTGTCAGTTTAATTATTTTAAAACATTATTCAAGATTTTTTTTTTTGCGATATGATGAACAATTTAATACAAATACATGTTTATTTATAGCAATTTAACTACTTATGATCAAAAAGCCAGCTAATATTACTTACAAGCCCAATGGCTTCTTGCTGCAAGAAGCCCAGCTCAGCATCTGTCTGCAGCTCTCGCCAATAACTCAAAAAGCCAGTCTGAGATTTCCTCTTGTCCAGCAGTTTGTTGCTGCCTCTGAGTCTGGCACTGGCTCTGTTCCCTTTTAGTATTCCCCCAGCCCCTGGGCTTCAAATTCTTCTCACAAGGATTTAGAGGACTCAGCCTTGGCACATGGGGCACCAGCTCCACCAGGCAAGCTATAGGCCGCCCCGGCTGTTAATTTACTTTAGCAACAAGTAAAGCTTTCTGTCCATCAGGAAACTAAGTGTAAATTACCAAGGGTTGAGGCGGAGCAGCCAGAGGATATCAGAGGGAAAACCAGAAAATAGTTTCTCCATAAAACCCCTAATCAGTGTCATAGTTTATGGTGTGTAACTAAAGCATTACACATTTTTCCTGACCTGAAAGACCGATCCACAAAGTGGGAATGACTGAGGCAACATTAACCCTTGTGTCAGTGTATCATTGGCAAATATCTCCTCACAGTTAATAAGCTTTCTGCTCTGTGTATGGGCTGTTTGTACACAGCCCTGGCTCTGTAAATACAAACAAACACAATATTCATTCAAGCCAAGACATAGGCAGCTTTAGACACCACAACTCCACCATATCTTTACATTGCAGATCATTGTTTTCTGCAATATTCATGTTTTAAATCTCACATATATATAACTTTTAAGTACCGTGAGACAACTCAGACCACAAGAAGACTATACCATCTACAGAGTGACTTCTATGTGTGGGCTGAGGCACTCGAAGCTGTGTGGCCACTCCCCTGCTAGAGACTTGACACCACCAATATAATGGCATGAGCTCAATGAAAAGGACTGATTTAGTTTAAAATGCCCTCTGATTAAAAAATCAATCTGGATGAAGATTTTTTGGGGTCAAATACACATTTGTGTTGACAAGATAATAGATTCTCATCTTAAGTCCAGATGGTGCGATGTGTCCTTATGCATCAGGTGTCGCTGGAGTTCTCTCCGTCCTCAGCTGTCCCAGGAGAGGAGACCACCCTGCAGGTGACGGCCCAGCCAGACTCTCTGTGCGGAGTGAGCGCTGTCGACCAGAGTGTCCTCATCAAGGAGCCAGGGAAGACTCTGGAGACAGCCAAGGTAAATGATGGAATCAACCACAAATAGATGCATACATCATTTATGTGTCCTCTGAATAATTTCCTTATGTCATGGGTAATCTTTCTTCTTTTTCTTCCCAGTTTTTTTCACCAACCGTGCTGATGCTATTATTTTTGTAAAGCACACTGTTGTGCAAATGCTTTACAAAAACTCCTGGTCATATATGTGAGGTGTATCCCTTGTATACATAATGTATACATTATCCACGTGATTATACAAAATTCACTGGTACTAAATGTCACACTCCCCTCCTCCTCCTGGCAGTCTAAAGCTTTTATGCTGTAAACAAACCTGCCTGGTATTTTGAGCTTGCAGTCCAGGTGCAGTCATCTAATAGGACTTGGAGCTAGTGGCAGCAGCTTGTACAGTTAGCACGTTCAGCAGTACTGTGTTACAAGAGATAAGGTCAGGGTTGTTTCTCGTCAACTAACAGTTTACGTGACTATTAGAGGACAGCCGTAATCTTTTTCTATAATCTTACATAAAAATATAAATGATAGCTAATTTACCTCCCATATCATTGTAGATTTCATTAAAACTGGACAGAAACAAATGAAATGCTCCATAACCATCTTTGTTGTCTTTCCAAACAATCACCAACTGGTTTGGTTAGGTTAAATAATACCTTAATTTACCGACATAGATGAGAAAAACTGTAGTTTCAGTTGCTCTCCTCAGTTTTACATGGAGGGACTCACATGCACGAACAGCCAGACTGGCTTTGTAAACAAACCACAGACAGGCTGCGATAACAACACAGGCAAAGGGAACGTGGCGTCATTCTCTGCTCAGGACACCATGACTCTATGATATCTTTACATAGAAAATAGTTGTTTGCAGTTATAATTATGTTGGGAGTGGGGTATATTAGGCAGCAAGTGAACATTTTGTCCTCAAAGTTGATGTGTTAGAAGCAGGAAAAATGGACAGCGTGTGGATTTGACAAGGGCCAAATTGTGATGGCTAGACGACTGGGTTAGAGCATATCCAACACTGCAGCTCTTGTGGGGTGTTCCCAGTCTGCAGTGGTCAGTACCTATTACAAAGGGGTCAAAGGAAGGAAGACAGGCTCATGGGGGGCCGAGGCTCGCTGATGCACGTGGGGCTATTGTAGCTCTAACGGCTAAAAAAAGTGAATGCTGGTTCTGATAGAACGGTGTCAACACACAGTGCATTAAAGTCTGTTGGTATGGGGCTGCATAACATTATGACCACTAGGGTACCCAGGTGGTATATATAACCTTTAAATCTCAAGACATCCCTACTGTCAGATCTTCATACAGCAACAAACATTTAGCAGTTTATAACTATGAATTATTCCCTTTTTTCCAGATATTTGGATTGTTACCTGTAAGAAAAGCAACCTCTATTCCACATGACATTCAAGAGCCTGTAGAATGCTTGCGTGTTTGGATGAGACCTAGAAGATATGTTTTACCATACCCCTACCATGTCGAGAAAGATGATGCTCATACAGTTTTCCAGGTACTGCACAAAAAATAATATACAATAAAAAGAATAATACATTAAGAATTTTGATGTTTACATTTAATTAACATTTATGTGATGCCTGTATGTTGTTGGATTATCTAGAATGTAGGTCTGAAGATGGCAACAAACTTGTTTATCCGAGTGCCTTCATGTCTCAAGTTCAAAGGAAGAGAATACCACCAAGGCCACTATGGTGACTTTTTTTTGCTCTATCAAGTGACACATTCTGAATATTTACCAGCATTAAAACAGCTCCCTGTATCAATGCTGCCCTCTGCTTCTGATGGAATATTTTCTGGTTTCTGTACAGGATTGGTTCAAAGGTCACGTCAAAGGACCATAATGAGTGAGCCAACAGTGAGAATGGTCACTGGTAGTAGTGCTAGAGGAGGCAGTGGTTTCTCTCCTCAACTTCCACCAATAGAAACAGTCCGCACTTTCTTCCCTGAGACCTGGATATGGGACCTGGTTGAGGTTGGGTGAGTTTCTGTCAGCAAGGGTGTTGATGGTCATGAAATAGGGAAAAACAAAATGCATTGTGTATTTTATTAATGTGTATTCATTTTTGTTCGAATAGAACATGTGAACTAGAGTGCTTCTCTTTGACTTCCTGCTGTCTCCCTGCACACATGAATAGCGTGAAAATAATTTAGTGACACTGATCCTGATTGTGTAAACTTCAGTAACGTGGAACTCTGTATTACTGCAGTTTCTGACTTTCTAAACACTCAAGAACACAGCATAGAAGAAACTATTTCACATTTACATAGACTATTTAAGGTCACAGTAACTCTAATGTGTTGCTATTGGTACAATAATTCTTACACATTAATCATATTCTTACATTGTTTTTCTTTAACTAATCTGTGTTATGTAAGTGCGTATTTCCACCAAATTGTATTTGTGTATCTCTCAATCCAGAGAGTCTGGAACGAAAGATGTGTCCCTCACTGTCCCAGACACCATCACCACCTGGGAAACAGAGGCTTTCTGTTTGTCCCCTCTGGGTTTTGGCTTGGCTCCTCGTAAAGAGATCAAGGTCTTCCAGCCCTTCTTCCTCGAGCTCAGCCTGCCCTACTCCATCATCCGGGGGGAGCACTTTGAGCTGAAGGCAACCACCTTCAACTACCTGTCCAGCTGCATCATGGTAATGAATGCTTTCACATTACCTTACTGCAAATGTCAGTTCATAATGATAACACTATCATGCTGGTGTTTAGCGGGTCATTTTTACCATATCAATCATGATGACAGGTAAATATTTGGAATAATCCTCATTTTATTAACTAGTTAAGTTTAACTAAAGTTAAGTACTACTTGATAACTTGATGCTTTTATTTGGAAGATAACTGTTTGGAAGATGCACCTCCCAAAGGTCAAAATCGCCTTATTTTGCTCCCGGTTGAACAGTTGTTGGCATCTGCCATAAATTCCCAGTTACAAAATAAATATTATTGTCTCTACTGAACAGGTCACTGTGACTCCAACACCCTCCTTGGATTACACCCTCACCCCCCTCTCTGGTGACCAGTACACATCATGTCTGTGTGGCAATGAGCGCAAGACCCTCAGCTGGACCATGGCTCCCTCAGCCTTGGGTAAGGGTCAAGAGTAGGCATACCAAGGTTGAGGACTACTGTCCCTCTTTCCCCAGGAAAACATCTTTTCATCTTTATAGAATTAGTGAGATCCACCAGAGTGACGAAATGTTTTGATACTTTTTATAGAATTTACAGGATCTGAAACTAAAGTTAATCAAGTTTCACGTCGTTCTTGTTGATATGTTTTAGGGGTTATGAATGTGTCAGTGAGTGCTGAGGCTTTGGCTTCCCAAGCTTCATGTGACAATGAGATTGTGAGTGTGCCAGACAGAGGTCGTATTGACGTGGTCACGCGGTCTCTCATAGTAAAGGTTGGTACCTCAAGAACCAGATAACAATGAAAACATTTATCCATTAACCATTATTGCATAGCATTTACAAAATGGAGACTCTGAAACTCACCTTATTTCCTTCACTCTCAGGCTGAGGGAACTGAGATGACAAAGACGTACAACTGGCTGCTCTGCCCAAAAGGTCAGTATGGTTTACACCAGGGATGCTGCTATAGGTTGGGAGGAGTCGAGCAGATCAAATAATATAAAAAATAATAATAGTAATAGGGACATTTACTGCTTGCAGGTAGCAATTAATTTTATTGTCTCAGATTGATTTAGCATCTGGCAATGTTCCCCACTGTGCCCCTCACCACTGAAAAGCTCCGCCTGGCTGTTCAGAGTTGCCATGCTAGGACTGCTAAATTGAACTGAAATCAAACTGAGCTAGTATATGATGATATGTGATATGCTGTCCTCTATTTTTATAAAATATGAATTTGACAGGTGTAGAGTCGTCTCAATTCTTCCATATTGCACCTTTAAATCCCAATAACATCTTTGTTTTAGTACTGGGCTATACTTAAGGTTTCTCTCTATAAGGTGATTATTCTCTGTCTCTGTACACAGGGGAAGCTTTGACAGAGGAAACAGACGTCCAACTCCCTGACAACATGATTGATGGATCTGCCCATGCTACACTTTCAGTCCTGGGTAAAAGAAAACTAAATTCATTTGAATTGAGGGTTGCTTTAACCATCCAGTGTCTGACAAGTTAACAGGCTTACCTCCCTTCAATCCTCATCATTATTAAAGGCTTCAATAATAAAAATGGACTTTTGTACGTTTCATTCAGCATGTTTGTGGGTAGTGTAACAACATAATGTTTGATTTGATTGTCTTTCAAGTCCATTAAGAAATTAAAGGTCAAGTTAGTTACATGTTTGGTCTTAAGGAGTCAGTGTTTTCATGCAGGTGACATTCTGGGCCGAGCTCTGAACAACCTGGATGGGCTGCTGAGGATGCCATATGGATGTGGTGAACAGAACATGGCGCTTCTGGCCCCCAACATTTACATCCTCCAATACCTGAAAAACACACAGCAGCTGACCCCAGCTATCAAAGAAAAGGCTACCAACTTCCTGACCAGTGGTGAGTCTCTGTTGGTTTTACTTTGAAACTAAAAAGAAAGATTTAAGACCTTCAGATATGTAAAACGTACCATCTGTAACAATGTGTTGCTGTTTTGCTGCACAAAATATAAGCAGAAGATCTGTCGTGCATAATCGCTGGACCGTGTCCCCGTCATAGTTCCCGGACACCAGGGTGACTTTTATTGTATGTCATTCCCGTCTCTCGCCTCATTTCCTGTCATCTCTCTACTGTCAGTTATGCAATAAAGGCACAATATTCTCCAAATGTGTTTTTTCCTTATCTCTGTACATTCAAACAGTTTTGGTTTTGTTACAGACAGCAAAAACTAATTTTCCCTACAATCAAAATTCATCAAAAATCCTATAAAATCCAATAATGTGTATCAATAATGCTCTATTTCTATTGTTATACAGGCTACCAGAGACAACTGAACTACAAACATCAAAACGGTGCTTACAGCACATTTGGATCAGGAGCAGGGAACACTTGGTGAGAATGTTACTGATCAATAATCAAACATAATCAATCAAACATGCTTTTCAACATTTACCATCATTGTATCATACTATGACATTCAGTTTAGCTTAAGAAAGAAAAAACATGATACTTAAAGCAGAGAGTAGATGATAGGACACTGTTTGCAAAAATGTCAAAGAACTAGCACTGACAAAAGCCAAGTTGGCCAAAAAGACACAATAAGACACCACAACAACTACAGCGAATGGCCAATTAAAATTATTAAAATGTCCTGTAAAATAGCTCCGTCCTAGCGGGAGCCTGTTGTAGTTGCTCAGGGTATTACTGTCGGTTTTTAGTTGTTTTTTACCCAATTTCCCTTCGGGGATTAATAAAGTCTATCTATCTATAAGAAGTTGCAAATGGCACTGGAGTTGAAAAATGCAACAAACAATGTTGTTTGCTGCTTCACTGATTTCTGTTTCCGATTGCGCTTAAGCTTAAGCTTAAGCTTAACAGCCAATCAGAGTGATTTCTGTCATGGATGGCCTCTGCCACCACATCCTAAGTTGGCCAGAAAAACCACAGACAAGGGCCGACGACAGCCAAAGACACCAATGACCCAACACTGGTCACCAGCTGATCGTCAGCCCAGTGTGTCAGGGCCTTTAATCCTATTATAGTTTAGTAGTTTCTCACATCAATACTACAAAAATAACATTAGCTTAGCTAATGACCTTAAGCATAAAGTGTTTATTGTATTATCAGTGTTTCCTGTTGTCTTATTTTTTTCAGTTATTGTCTTACGTTGTTCTGATATCTTCAGGCTGACTGCTTTTGTGCTGAGATCTTTTGCCAAAGCGCGGTCTTTCATCTACATCGACCCAACAAAGATTAAAGAGTCGAAGACTTGGCTGAAGCGCAAACAACGAAAGAATGGCTGTTTTGAACAGTCGGGGAAACTCTTCAACAACCGAATGAAGGTAAGCTGACAGTCCCTGTAGAGAGTGTATGAAAATGACTGATGACAGCTGACACTGAAGAAGGTTCAGCACCTATTTCATTCATGGCTAAGTTGTAACTAATGCTAACCTGTGGCTCGGTCCACAACATTTGCAACATGAGGTAATTCCCTCTTGTGTTACATTAGACAGGTTTCACTGTTTTTCCACGAACAGCATTATTATGATTCATGTATGAGCAACCAGGAGCCCACACTGCCATCATTTGCAATCTGCATGTAAACAGTGTCACTTTGGGGCCCCTGGGTTGTGGAGGAACAGTGTTGATAATGTCTGAATGATGCTTCCTCTCTACAGGGTGGTGTGTCTGATGAAGTGACTCTCAGTGCTTACATCACTGCTGGCTTCTTGGAGATGAATACGCCTGTAAAGGTAAGTCAACTCTTTGCAGTATAAATGTTGTTTTAAATGTAAACTGTGAATGTTAACAAAGACAAGAAGGGAGAAAACAGTTGGTGTAATTCCACACATTTAATGTAAATTATTTTGAGATTCTTCCTGCATTGCAGTTTATTAAATTATAGCTGTTTTAATTTATTTGAAATGTATCATATACTGTTTGAGTACTACCTGGTGGTAGATGAAGCAAAATTTCAAGAATATACTTTATTTCTAATTAAATATCTATAGCACAGTACCACAAATGCAGTGAACCGTACCTTTAAAATGCTAATGAAATAAAATATGGTGGTAGTAGCGTTACCAATTTAGCTTAGAATATAGGCAGAAAACCTCAGTATTATGTTGCAACTTTTCAGTGATATTTCTTGGAAATTATTTATTTTGGTCTGTGTTGGTAGTTTTACTTCATCATTCAGGTTAGTGGGACTGGTATACACTTGATTCCTGGCCTACCGTCTTCTCCCTTTGTGCTGATGTTTAATGGTACTGCCTCCATTCATCCAAGTCCTTTGTATAAAGTTTCCATGAATATAGGAGTTTGTTCACACAATGACAGACAAAATGATCATAAAATAGAATGAACTTGCTGTGTTTAGATCAATAAAGTCAGTTGATGTGATACATTAATTTATTATAATGTTTTCTTTTTAATCTGTTAAAGGATCCAGTGGTGAATAAGAGCCTCTCTTGCCTCAAAGAGTCCTTCAGTGACCTCAGCAACACGTACACCACAGCTCTGCTGGCCTACGTCTTCACCCTGGCAGGAGACATGGAGACCCGTGCTCACCTTCTGAAGCATCTAGACACGGTCGCATTAAACCAAGGTGAGTCATGCTCCTAAAGGAAATCATTCTGGCTTCATTACTATGAATGTAGCTGACCTCTTGTCTGTTTGTCTGTTTGTGGATGGCTGCTTGTAGGAGGTTTCCTCCACTGGTCTCAGACAGCAACAGAAACGTCAGCCTCTCTATCTGTGGAGATCAGCTCCTACGTGCTGCTGGCCAAACTCAGTGCCTCTCCTACCCCTGAAGACCTGGGCTACGCTGCCCGCATCGTCAGATGGCTCACAGGGCAGCAGAACTATTATGGAGGCTTTTCCTCCACACAGGTACAGCCCAAACGATGAAAGGCACAGTATTCTCTTCTGGGACAGATAACAAAGCTAGTTGAAGCCCTATTTTTGTCTTAATTACAATGATTGATTCAATTAGCTTTTAAATGTTCATCAACAATTTAATGTACATGTAAATGTAAGCACATGAATTATTCAACCACACCATCAAATGTATGAAATATGAAAAGTTGATTGCACATAATGAACAAATGTAAACAGACGTGGTATAATGAGAGATGAGGGATGAGGGATGAGGGTAGGGTCGAGGGATAAAGTTCGAGAATGAAGGTTGAGGAATCAAGGTCGGGTAATGAAGATTTGTTGGCGGATGGATGAATGGATGGAGGGGTTCGGCACGAAGTAAGAAGGAACTGAGTAGGTTGTGAGACTCTGAGTGGGGGAGGCTGTCTCTTCGTATCTCTTGTAGAGAGCCCCAGTGGTTCCTGTATATGGATAAGAGAGAGAAAGAAAAATAAATGGTTTGGGGGGGGGATGTGAAAAATGAGTCAAGGAGGGAGTGAACGGATAAGGTGTGCTAAGTAAGTTTGAGAGGAAATGAGATGATTGCAGGGCGTGGTCTTTGTTCCCGAACCGAGTCATAAAACTTAATTTATTGTGTGTGTATGTTGTAGGACACAGTGGTGGCTCTTCAGGCTCTGGCTCTCTACTCCACTCTGGTGTTCAGTCCAGGGGGTTCAAGCACAGTGACTGTCCAGTCTCCCAGTGGCCAGCTGACATTTGGTGTGAATCAAGACAACAAACTGCTCTACCAGGAGGAGGTGCTGAAGGACATAACAGGAAAATACAGCTTGGTGGTGCAGGGAAATGCATGCGCTTCAGTGCAGGTCAGTAGTCACTGCAGTGCTTCCTGTTTGATATACATACACCACCAACACTACGCCAATGTAACTATGCTTTAATAGATCCCTACAGGATTTCACAGGCTGTTTTTGAGATTGTTGCAGCCTAAAATTCCTGATTTCACAGCAGTTTTTCCAAAAAATTGTGAATGTATGTTGCAATGTTTTCAGACATCTTTTTTCAATCAAATTGCAGAGGTGAAAATTGCAACAGTAATTGCATTCTTTTGTATAATTCATGAGAAAATCTAAGGCAGTACTCCGGTGTTGGTCGCACAGAATTCACATGGAATTCTGTGAATTTTCCTTAATTCTTGGCGGTTGAAAATTCACGAAGGGACTGCCTAATGTTAACAACCCAGTTGTAATACAGAACTGTTCCAGAAGTTCCATATCCCCGATCTTATAGATCCCTGTGGTATGCTTTGGATAATCCAAGGTTGTTTCTTGTTCCAAAGAAATGGTAAACTCTAACTATTTAAATTATTATGAAAGGATTTTGTTAAAAAGATATGGGATATATTGAAAAACATAAATAAACATTGGGAATTAAACTCTGTCCTTCTTCTCTTGTTAGATCTCCAATTGGCATAGGTTCACTTTTTTGAAGATGCATCCAAATATTTAACCTTTAAGCTTTTGAAGGATAAGAAAGTGTCAGGTATAAATAACAACATGTCGTCAGCATAAAGTGAAACATTATGCTGTAAGGCATGGCAAATACCTATGCCAACACTTTCCTTCAAAGCAGCAGTCACTAGCTTCATTGCCAGGGAAACTTGTGGCTAAGTTTAAGTACTATTACTTAAAACACCCTTGTTCATTTTTTATGAATATTAAACCTTCCTTGTGTGCTTTTATCACAGATTTCTATTCACTACAACATCCCGACTCCTGCTGATGTCACCACTCTCAATGTGGAGGTCAAACCAGAGGCCAACTGCACCGGCAAATCTCAAAGACCCAAACTCACTCTGAAATTAAAGTCCTTGTAAGTAATCTTTAACAACTACATCCATGTCACGATACTGAAATTCTGTCAACGAGCTTTGACTGAGTAACTTTTGGCAGAAGGACATCTGGGAATATGGCATGCCCTTTTAACATTAATCAGTATGGCTGACTAGTAGCAATTTAGTTTATTTTTAGTGGAAATTACATATTGTTAGCTCTGTCATTTTGATGTCATAATGTAATTTAAGATATCTGTAAAATAATTTTGACATGTTACAATATATATTTTCAGACGTTAAAATTACATTTTGGCTGGTCTGTATTGATTTACAGATATATTTAATTTAATCATAAATGTCAGTAATTCCTTTTTACAGATATCTACAATGGAATTTCCACATGTTGAAGGATATTGACTAGTGAAAATGTGACTTCGCCCTTTGAGATATCATTAATTGCATTTCTGACATGTCAGACATATCAACAAATCTTTTTGGAAATGTCACCTAATTGGCATATTATTTTGGATATGCTGTCCAAATTACCATATCCATTTTGGATATGTACCAAATGTGAACCTATCATGACATCACCCTTTGGTTGTGGAGAACCGTTTTGAAGCCTCAAGTTAGGCATTATGGTCTGCAGCATTACAAGTCATTGGCTGCACAGTTTCAACTCGTCCGTAGCAGGAAATAATGACGGCTGGACTGGTCACACATAATCTCGTATTACAACTGTATTACAAACAGTACACTAAAATATATTTCTGAAACAATTTTAGGTGAGAAATACTCAAGGCAGTAACAGAATCCTGCTCTGTATTTGATCAGCACTGCCTACTTTGACAATTTGATCTGAGTTTGGTGCGCTGAGATGGACAGACTCACTGAGAATGACTGGTCAGTCACAAGGTAGTCATGCTCAAAAGCATACCCTGCTTTATCGTTTATTTTACTCTAAACTGGACCATAATTTACTAAATGAACATCATGCTGTATGGAAAAAGACTTGAAACTAGAGATTGAGACCATAAACCCATTAGGAAACTGTTTACTGAGCTCTTAAGTCAAATGAGAAGTTGGGTCATGTCAATGAAGCTGCCCCTGTTGGTCAATACATAGAATGCAGGCTGAAGACACTGGATTCATCTCAACATATCTACAATGACATTCTGACTAGTGGAAATTCCTTTTTTGATTGCCAAAATTTAATTCTGAATAGTTACAAAAGTAATTGTTTCAATTGTTTTTTATTTCAAATAAAAGTATAATTTTCACAAGACACAATTGTATTTCACATATCTGAAATGAAATTGTAGATATCTCATATCACATTATACATTTTACTGGTCAGAATATAATTTCAGATCTCTAGAATTGCATTTATCATATTTGTAATTTAAGAACAGCTGTACCACCAGTAAGAATTTTTATATTGATATCAACAATTACCATTTGCAAGTGTGAGAATGTAATTGTTGATAATTAACATTTTGAATGGTAAGAATCGCAACTATTCACAATTGTATTATGTATATTTCGAGTGAAATTGAGTGATAGATAATTGAGTTATATGTAATAAATGTTTACAACTACATACAACTAGTAAACCTATGACAGAAGGACATCTTACTGAGTAACATCACATTTTTATGGTTGCATTACAGATATACTGGAAAGGAAAGCACAACAAACATGGTGATCCTGGATATCAAAATGCTCTCTGGATTTGTCCCAGACCCAGAGTCTTTGAGGAGGGTGAGTTATTACAGTAAATTCAACCTGAGTAGAAATTGAATAGTTTTCACCTGTTTTTGATGAACGACCCAACTGAATATGGTCTCCTCACAGCTCAAAGGTGCTCTGCTGGTGGATCGCGTTGAACAAAAGGAAGACCATGTTCTTGTGTACATACAGGAGGTGAGAGGAATTCACATTGAGGACCAATAAATTATGCTCTTCAGATTCGTTACTGATGGTGTCGTCTGTTTTTATTCCAACAGTTATCAAAGGACATACCCATCAACCACAACTTAGAGCTCATACAGGAGCTGCCAGTGCAGAACCTGAAACCAGCCGTGGTCAAGATCTATGACTACTACCAGCCAAGTAAATACCTAATTCCTTTTACAGATATCACAGTACACACTGACAAACTTTGCTCCCTAGTCGAGCTGTACAAACAAACTGGAAGTTATCAGAGTTGTAGTTTTAAAGTACTCCCTTTTTTAATATTTTAGACAGTTGAACACATGAAGAAAGTTTGACTATTTTTGTTTTTCCTCTCTTTTATCTCTATATCCACTCAGGTGACCAGGCTGAGACAGAATACATATTCCCTTGTGTTGCAGGTAACAATCTGTAATATCACAAACACAAGCACTGCCACATTTATTACAAAAGCAATTTAATGTCCAAAAATTGAAATATTTCAATACAAAATGTGTCAGTTTTGTAAATTAACTAAACAGCTAAAGTAGACTTAAAGTCTTAGAGTGAATTATTATTTTATTCTTTCTTTTGCAGCTTGAAGATGTGGTCAGTCCTCAGGTCATCACTGATTCCAGTATAATTTCAGAAATCCCTGCATTTTATTACAGATACATTTTATGTACCGTGTGTAACTCCATTAGTTTATGTAAATTACACAAACAGTTAACATGTGTTTGCTTTTAAGATAAATTAATGGACAATAAAATAAATTGTCCCACTTAAAACAGTTTTTCAAGTTTCTTCTCTCTGCAGTTTATTTATGTATTGTTGTATGTTGTATTTCATCCACTGACTAGAAGTCGTTCAGGACAGATTAATGAGGAAAGTCAAACTACGTTCAATAAAGCAACAAGTGTTCTTTCAGCTTTTCCTAGCAGTCATTCATTTAAGTACGGTTTAGATAATGTACGTTAGACTTTGCTGATTGGAAGATGGTATGTTTTTTAGGCTGTGGTATCTAAAGCCACACAGGCCGTGCACTGTTGCCTCACAGCAAGAGGGTTGTGGGTTCGAACCTGCCAGCCTTCCTGTGTAGAGTTTATATGTTCTTCCTGTGCCTGCCTGGGTTTTCTCCAGGGGCTCTGAAGGTATGAACGTGAGTGTGAATGGTTGTCTGTCTTTATGTGTTTTGATTGATTAACTGGCCATCTGTCCAGGTTGTACACTGCCTCTCGCCAAGTGGCTTATCTCCTGCAACACACAACCTTCTGAAGGATAAAGGGTATTGCTAATGTGGGATGGATCATTTGACCACATTCATCTTTGAGCTGAAATATCCCAATAGACTGAGTAGAGTCCAATGGTTCAATTCTCTTTACATTACATGTGCAGATTTTGGGCACCTTTGAAGCCTAGGGGTGAAGACACTGACATATCCACTGATCATGTCTAGCCAAGGACCTTTGTTGTATATTGTTCACGCACTCCCCCCCTTACAGTAATGAAATAATAATAATAATAGTAACGTGAAACTTGGCTCCACTCGCACATCCCGGACAGCAGCGTTGAGGTTCCTGGTTACAATTTGGTACGTGGAGACAGAGACTGTTCCAAAAGTCGGAAGAAGAAGGGTGGCTGGCTTGCACTTCATATGAGTGAGAGGTGGTGCAATCCTGGACATGTCAGCGTGAAGGAATGTCTCTGTACCCCAGACATCGAACTGCTGGCTGTGGGAATGTGCCCGTATTATTTGCAGAGGGAGTTCATGTCCACCATTGTTACGCTGTCTACATCCCCCCGTCAGCTGATGCAGCGGTGGCCTGTGAAATCATCAGCTCCTCCCCCGCTAAACTGCAGACTGAACATCTGGATGCGTTTATGGTCATTTCAGGTGATTTTAATCATGCCTCACTGAACAACACTTTAAATAACTTCCATCAATATGTTGACTGCCCCACCAGAGACAAAACATTGGATTTATTATATGTTAATGCCATGGACGCACATATGACGCCAGAGCCCTTCCCACCCTCGGCAGGTCAGACCACAACCTGGTCATGACGACTCCCAAGTATGTCCCTCTTGTGAGAAGGCAGCCTGTGCACACCAGGACAGTGAGGAGGTGGACACAGGAGACCGCTGAGGCACTGCAGGACTGCTTCGAGTCGACAGACTGGGATGTACTCTGTGAGCCACATGGGGAGGACATCGATAAGATGACCGACTGCATTACAGATTATATCAGATTCTGCCATTCCTACCACCATGCCAGCCCGGACCGTTCACTGCTTCTCCAATAACAAGCCCCGGATTACCAGTGACCTGAAGGCACTCCTGAACAAGAAGAAGAAGGCTTTCAGGTCGGGAGACAGAGAAGAGCAGAGGAGAGTGCAGCACGAACTCTGAGAGATGCTGAGGACGTGAAAGGACAACTACAGTAGAAAGCTGGAGGCCAAACTCCAACAGAACAGTGTGAGGGATGTGTGGGCGGGAATGAAGCACATCACGGGGATGAAGGGGAAAGACAGGCAGACATCAGACCAGTCGCCCTAACATCGCATGTGATGAAGGTCCTGGAGAGACTGGTCTTAGCCCAGCTGAGGCCACAGGTGAGGACGTTTCTGGACCGTTTGCAATTTGCCTATCAGCCCCATTTAGGAGTTGATGATGCTGTCATCTACCTGCTGCAACGAGCCCATGTGCATCTGGATGGTGGGTGTTGCGATATCCTGTGATTTATACTCTATATATTTACCTGTATGATTATTAACTAGTATAGCAATATGTATACTTGTGCTTACATTGATTATGCTTACATTGATAAAGGGCTGTTAAGGGAATACTAATAACAGAAATAAAGTAATGAATATTAGAGGTTTGTGTGATGTGTTATAGAATTGTAACTGACTAATGAATATGAATAGCAGACACAGTATAAGGGAGAAGAGTGTGGGTAGTTGCAGATATAACATGACATTCTTTGGGAGAGATAGCGGTAAACACAGCCTCCGAGGTCAGTATCAGGAGCTCGTAAAACAATGATAGAACACAAGACGGACTCCTTCCAGTCGTGAGAAGCAACTCCATATCTAGAAGAGAGAGTACGAAGTGTACGCATAGGTTTGAATAATATGTGCGTAGGTTTAGACTACATGTCATTGAATGTCAGAAAAAGAGGCCGTTTTCCCTTCGATGAGTTCCAGGTTGTGGGGATCCCATCGACGCCATCCCATCAACACCATCCTTGGAGACAAAATACCAAGAGGACAAGGGGTGGAGATTCTACCATCTTGTGCTATGTGTGTTATCTGCAAAAATATAAGAACTAATGTTGGGAACAAGAGGTTGCTCAGACTTGTACAACATACTGGTGTTAAGAATAAAGCTGATTCTTGAGTAAACTAAATCTTCTCATATTGCTTCATTAAACGGACGCGCGAGGAATGAGTGTCTGAAATACAGAGATTCCTCAACATGGGGGAGGCACTGTGAGGATCACATTCTTTGATTTCTCCAGTGCTTTACATCATCATTCAGCCTCTGCTAATGGGTGAGAAGCTGCGGGTGGTGGGTGTTGACGACACTATGATCTCCTGGATTACTGACTACTTGACAGGCAGGCCACAGTTTGTCCGTCTGGGCAGTGTCCTGTCTGACGTGGTGGTCAGTGATGCAGCTCCACAGGGAACTGTGCCTTCTCCCTTCCTCTTCACCTTATACACGACTGACTTTCAGTACAACTCCTGTACTGAAAGTTTTCTGATGACTCAGCTGTTGTCGGGTATATAAGGGAGGGAGATGAGGGTGAGTACAGGACACTGGAAGCTGACATCCTTTAACGTGTGCAGCAAGATGTTGAAGATCTTCTACCAGTCTGTTGTTGCCAGCGCCATTTTCTTTGCTGCTGTGTGTTGGGGCAGCAGCATCAGAGCCATCGACACCAACAGACTTGATAAAATCATCAAGAAGGCTGGCTCTGTACTTGGTCTCAGGCTGGAGTCTTTTGAGTCCGTGGTGGAGAGGAGAACGCTGAATAAACTGTTATCCATCACAGACAATGATCAGTCTCCAAGCACCTTATATGTTTTTACATAATCTGTTCACTGCACCATATATTTTTACTTTGCACTACAATTATACCGCTTATTTATACATTTTTATAAATTTTTTATATTGCATTTTATATTGCTTTTTTGATATGTCTGTGTGTTGTTACTGCGTGTAATGCTGCTGCTACACTGCAATTTTCCATTATTTATGGCCCCCATTGGTGTTCACTTGACTTTTCCTACCCATGTAGCTGGCGTTTTTAGTTGTCTCAACAACAACTGGATGGTTTGCTATGAAATCTGGTGCAGACCTTCATGGTCCCCTCAGGTTAAAAGGTTATAGGTTAAAAATGTTTAGATCCTCTGACATAAAGTATTGTCACCTAATAATGTTGATATTTGAACATATTAGCAAAGTGTTGCCAATTTACACATCCAGCAGACATGAAGCATGAAGCTTTTATTTGGGTTCATGTTTTTGACGACCTGGGAAATGTAAGTTACAATATATACTCTTATTTGAGCTCTGTTTTGGTTTCCACAAAGCATCTGCCTCTCCAGCTGCTATATGCTCCAGTTTTCACATTTCAGCAGCAACAACCAGCAAATAAAATTGTCAGTGCATGGAGGGTTGATCAGCGCTATCAAACGAGGTTGATAAGAGCAGTGAGAATGAACCAGAACAGTAAACTTGCAGCCCGTAAACTAAATCTGTGAGCTACCAGGAAAATGCTGTAGCTGAGGGGAACAGCAGTGGCATTACAATCACACATTAAATCACACAGATCTATTATTAATATAAAAATAATGATTAGTGCAGCATCATCCCAAGAATCAACACACATTGATTTGGTTCTCTGATCAAGCTCCACTGCTTTAATTATACCATTTAGTAAACAAGCTCAGACAGGCCAAGTGTACACCACCTGTAGCATTAATTAAACAACAGAGAGCTGAAGTAAATGAGTAACTGGTGAAGAAGCATCTATAGGAATTTGTCCTTGTAAAACTCTTTAAAAAACAAGCTTTTTTTTGGTTCGTTTTCTACAGCCTGCCTGATCATGATCAGCCCCCCGATTTACTGTTGATGACATTTGATTGTCTGTAGGTGGCACTGTTGTCTTGTTTTTTGTTATCAGTAAAAAAAAAAAAGATAGATAGATAGATAGATAGATAGATAGATAGATAGATAGATAGATAGATAGATAGATAGATAGACAGACAGATACTTTGTTTATCCCGAGGGAAATTCAAGTATCCAGTAGCATACAAAATACAAAACATACATCAAACATACATTAGACTAAAATTAAAATCCCTAACCTTAAGAATAGAATTAAAAATAAAATAGAAGAAAAATATAAAGTATACATTAAACATACATTAGACTAAAATTTAAATCCCTAACCTTAAGAATAGAATTAAAAATAAAATAGAAGGTGAAATATAAAGTATTATATATACCGGTCTCGACCCGTCTCTCTTCTTGCTGCTTCCTCCCCAGCAAACCACTGCATAAAAGAGGACGCTGGCCACCACAGACTGGTAAAACATCTGCAGTAGTTTTTTTGCAGATGTTGAAGGACCCCAGCCTTCTCAGGAAGTACAGACGGCTCTGCCCTTTCCTGTGTAAAGTGTCCATATTTGCTGTCCAGTCCAGCTTGTCGTCCAGCTGCAGCCCCAGATATTTCTATGTCCTGACCACCTCCACATCGACCCCCTCGATGGACACGGGTTGGAGATGTGGTTTCTTCCTTCTGAAGTCCACCACCATCTCCTTGGTCTTGTAGGTGTTCAGCTGCAGATGGTTGGACCTGCGCCACCTCACGAAGTCCTCAACCAGGCTCCTGTACTCCTCCTCCCGTCCATCCTTGATACAGCCAACTATCGCAGTGTCATCCGGGTATTTTTGCATGTGGCACAGCCCGGAGTTGTACTGGAAGTCGAATGTGTACACGGTGAAAAGGACGGGAGAGAGCACGGTACCCTGTGGTGCTCTGGTGCTGCTGACCCAAACAATAAAAGGTCACCCATGGTATGTGAGGAGATGTACTGCAGGCCCTCATTCTCTCACCTAAACAAAACCTGATTAATGTACATTAAAGCTGCAGTAGGTAACTTTTATGAAAATAACATTTTGTCATATTTGCTGAAACTACTTTCACTATATCCTGACAGTAGAACATGAGACAGATAATCTGTGAAACAATCAGGTTCCTCTGGCTTCTACTAGTGCTCCTAATGGCATTTGTAAGAATCCACCGGGCCTGAACGAAAACAACCTTGACCCTTGATTCCTGACTCCCATTCCCAGGGCATCAAATACCACGATGGGAATGAGAGTCAAGAATCAACAATCTTCCATGGCTCTGATTGGCTGTTTTTGTTCGATGCAGTTGATTTTTGTAAATGCCATTAGAAGCACTAGGAGGAGCCAGAGGAACCTGATTTATTCACAGACAATCTGTCTCATGTACTACTGTCAGGATATAGTGAAAGTTTCAGCAAATATGACACAAAGTTATTATTAATATATTATAACTATTATTAATGTGACACTAACTGTCTCATATCTGTCAAAAATTTTGGTTGGACTGTAGTTGATGTGTTGCATAATGGTATAGTTTAATTTTATTGGATATATAGTTCTTTGAGTGTGTCGCATTGCCAATTATTGTTCTGCCTGCTTTGCATTTTTATTGTATGACCTTAACCAATGCTTTTACTCTCCTTTGTTGATCTTATCTAAATATTACACTGTTCAATTATTTTGAAACTTGCATTTGTGTTCCTTTATCTGTTATTTGTTTATGACCACATACAGAGAAGACATTTTGGCTGGTTATAGCAGGGAGCACACAGCTGTTGCTAATACAGTTAACGATGTCTCTGTGTCATTGAGTGTTACAGTAAACCATTCCAGTGATCGAGCATGCACGGAGCCATCATTACTGACATTAGTTGCACCTGTGCTTTCCCTACCATGACATGCCAAAATGTCAACATCTGCAGAGTGTCTGTGTGAAACAGGATAGGACAAATGTCATCAGTAACACCAGCAAAACAATGACATCATAGGCCTCCTCCTCAGGGGGTACCTCAGTTTTGAATTTATTTTTTATTTTGTACAATTTGATAGCATCGCCTAAACACAGGCTGCAAAAAAAAAAAAAAAAAAAAAAAAAAACTACATATGGTATAACTTTAAAACGGTGTTACTAAAAATGAAGTTAATAAATAAAAAAAAAAAAAAAATAAATCCTTTTCAGCAAACATGTTACGTCACTTCCGGGATGTATGGGAGAGCAAAATGACAGCTGGTTTGTTTTTATCAACAAGGAAAATTGAAAGTAGACATTAAAGGTATGTAGGACGACGACCTTCTATTCTATCAGTTTTTGATTCGCTCTTTTAGCATGCTGTCACTAGCTTGTGGTTGTTGGAAGTATATTTATATCGTTGCCATCTGTAATCCATCTCGGGCTCCATCGAGCTGCTGCTGGGGGTCAGACTCACTGATGCCGAGTCCGGACTGGACACCGTCTGCTATTCGCCCGTTAAAAAGGGGCAATTTGCACTAATCATCCACCGGTTCTTAGCCAGGGATATAACGGGGGTCGGGGGAGTGTTGTCATCTCTGCACAGGGTTAGCTATACGCCTTTTAATCAAAATCCCAAACTCCATTCAAAAATCTGTCAATGTGTTGTTGTCTGTGCCTTATCGGCCTATGTATAACTATGTATAACAATGTGAGACGCTTTACCAATCACATAGATTTATACTTACATTCGGCGTAATTTGAATAGAAGAATTGTCACTTCGGACTATACAATTTTAACTTTTATAGTCGGTTTGCATGTTATTGCTATAGGACCACTTCACGGAATGTATGCTGTAGCTAGTAAAGCACGGCATAAAAGTCCACATTTTGTCTAAATAACTATTCCTTTTTCAGAGGAGTATATGCCGAACGTACAAGACTTTGGTGCTGAATCGCATGTCGTCATATTTTATAAACTATTAGATGTGTACCTTTTATTGAAAAGCAAAGAAGGATAAAATTACGATACTTTAAAAGGGCATTTGGCATAGCGGATTTCACACTTAACAAAACGAGTCAGAGCTACTTTATCTTTATTAACTTATTGTCTTTACTATACAGGTGACTTACTACACCATCATCAATCATTGAGTATATTTTTACATTGTCACTGACAGATCATTTATTTTTGTTTTGTTGACCCTTGTGGGGAAATTCCTGTCTCTGCTTCTATAAAATCTAAATGTGCTTCCATGTTCTCTGGATTATATTGATATCGGCAAGTGAATAACAAGGCAGAAACTGATCTTTGGCCTTGTTTGTTATCCAGTGTCCTGTGGTGAATGCCATCCAAGTCCTCCCTTTTCTGGCCCATGCAGAGCAAATCCTGACAGCTGACCAAAGCGGGACCAGCATTTCTTCTGGAGACATCTGCCAGCTCTGCCAGCCACTCTGGAGTAAGACACTACTGACAGTGATATAGGCATTGTCTTTCATCTTCCTAATGGACAGCATTGTCTTGTGCAAAAGTTAATGCTGTTTAGTTTCAGTTGCACTTAAAATAAATGAACAAATACATTCTGTCAGAGGATACTAGATGAATCTGGCTGTTTTGTTTTGACAGGCCATCAGGACAAACGCAGAAGAAGACAGTGAACAGTGATAGTGGTCAAATCAAGGGAAACGTCTCTTCAGGTAAGACGTTTTCTGCCATATCTTTTTAACTATAATCATATGCAGTTGGAGGGACAGGTGTGACTCCTTTCAAGCAGGACACTAGGTCAAACACCTCACATGCGTGTTGTATTGGACCTGTTTTTTATTTTGTCTTATGTCTGTAAAAATAACCATGGGGTAACTTGATTTATTCGCTAAAGAGTAACAAAGTGCTTTACAACAATTTACTGCAGCCCATTTTTGCCAAATAAGATATTGTAACAGGATCCTTTTATTTTTTTATTTCAGCACAACCACTACATAATTTATGCTTGCCTGCAGCAGATTCCACAGCAAGGCTCTACCCACCGAGCCTTTCAAAACACACACAGTTACTCGTCATTTTAATTATAGAAACTTTAATGATAAGTTAGGTCAAAAGGTGCTTCTCTACAATGTGTTGAAAAGTTCAGCTTTTTCGTTCTCTCCTGCGGGCAGATCCAGGGATGTTTAAAGGGGACAGTGACTCTGTGGTTTGCTGCTAAAGAGCTGCGGGCACCTCCTTGTGTCCCTCCCATTATCATTCGTTCCTCTCTTAAAAAGAAATGCAGTCATTTGTCAGCCCTGGCCATCCTTGTGTTCCTGTATGCGTTGGCAGATCTATACAGCCTACAACTGTGTGGCAATGTTTATTGACAAAATGTGCTTTTATGATGAATGTGTGCAAGTGAATTCTTGAGACTGCTCTGACGTTGCACTAGTGTTCGACATTTTTGACCGATGTTCTGCTGTGTGAAACCAGAACCTAAACTGAGGTCAAAACACTGGGCTGCAGTTGTTTAAGTCAATTGTCAAAGTTGACTTAAACATAGAAATGAAATGTGAGTATTTGAATGGAAACTATGAGAACCAAGCTTTCAGTCCAACTTTCAGCCTCTCTCTGTCCCAACTTTACCCTACTTCTGACACAACAATGTTATACTGTAAGCCAGTCTTGACTGGAGCTGCAACCATAAGTCAATTAATCACTTTGTTGTTTGTCATTAATCAAGCAAAAATGCTCAGGATTCTCTGGCTTCAGCTGCTCCACTATGAGGATATGCTGCTTTTCTTTGTTTTATATCATTAAATTGAATTTCCTCAGGTTTTAGATTATTTTTTGGGCAAAAACAAGATTTTAGAATGTTACCTTGGGTGTAAGGCATTTTTCTCATGTTTCATGTTGAGGGCAAATGACTCATTTATCATGCGAGAAAATTATTTGTAACAATCCCTAGTTCAAGCCCTTGTCTGTACTCTTCTTTTGTTCAGATGAGCCTTTTTTGTTGTGCACTATCAAGATGGGCACAGCTATGTAGAAGGTCTGAGTTCATAATGTATATAGTAGCAAATGTGCTTGGATAATGCGGTAAAACAGAGCCTGTGTATGAGCTGACAGCTCTGTCTCTTTCCAACAATGCTGACCAGCTGAGGGGGAGGCTGTTCAGCGGGACGGAGCCATGGAGCCACCGGAGGACATGGAAGGTCGTACCTTTGTGGAGGTGATGAGTGAGAAGTATAGTCCAGAGAACTTTCCGTGCCGCAGGGGGCCTGGCATGGGGGTGGTGGTGGTGCCCACCATATGTCCTCAAGGCTCTCCTATGAAAGGTGAGCTGGAGGTGAATAATGACTAACAGATAGATATGGGCCTGTCATTTTCATTACTTATCTTTGAGTCCGACCTTTGGCCCTTTGCTGCGTGTCATTCCTCTCTCTCTCCCCCTTCCCTGTCTATCTCAAGATGTCCTGTCAAATAAAGGCAAAAAGCTGTCAATTAAAAAAATTATCTATATCTTAAATACATGAATCCAAATGTGCACCCTCTGGACCTGAAGGCTGAGCGGTATTTTGTCATATGCACCTTGTCGTGTTCACCATCATCACGTCAAGTCTGTGAGGGGCTAAAGTGCACTATTGGATGGGACTTAACAGTTTTAACAGTACCCGCTTTAATACTGATAATGTACGCAATATAAACCCCACTATGCCAGTATACTAGGCCTACATCAAAAATGAAAATACAGATGTCTCAGCGAGTCCTCAAGTGGTGGGGAAGTTGAATATTGAACATTTGAATTTAGTCCATGTCATGTGCTGCATTGCATTCTGGTATTTTGAGCCATATTAGCAGTGGAAAGATTTGACCCATAAATGCAGCATCAGTTTTTGACAAAGACGCAGTATTAAACCTTGAGCTCCCTTTTTTTTAGACATTAAAACTTCACAGCTGTTTATTCTGGGGACTTGTCATGTCCTGAAGGAATTTTAGGGGCTCCTTCTTTTTTGTACAGTAGGATCAGCACATGGCTATTCATTTACATTTTTGAATTAAATTTAATCATAAAATCTACTGGCCCTCACAAACTGGTTTTGTGTGACACTGTAAGAGTTTCCCCATTTAAGCTGAATTGCTGAATTATAAGCTGACATGCAACTTTTGTTTTAACAAATCACAGCTTCTTCTGACTCATTACATTTAATCACAAGACAACTTTAATTAGATATTATGTCTCCTTGAGAACCTTCCGTTTTTCTGTGTGAACCTTCGCCTCTGAGGATTAATCCTCACTAATTCTCCCTTCCACCATCTCCCACTTCACCTGCAGACCGTCTGAACCTGCCCAGTGTGCTGGTGTTGAATAGCTGTGGCATCAGCAGGGCGGGAGACCAAGCTGAGATTGCTGCCTTCTGTGCCCATGTTATAGAGCTGGACCTGTCTCACAACAAGCTGCAGGATTGGCATGAGGTGCAGTAATAATTGCATTTAAAGGGTTCTGGTTACATTCTGTATTTTCTTTACTGTCAACAAATCCAGTGAAAAGACCCAAACCAACAATTGGTCATTTTTTGTTCTTTTGACCGTATAGCAGAGAGACAAAATTAAAAACATGTCATTGTCTTAATTTTAGATCAGTAAAATCGTGTCCAGCATCCCCAACCTGGAGTTCCTGAACCTGAGCTCCAATCCCCTGGCAGGAACGACCCTTGAGCCGCGGTGTGCTGAAGCCTTTTCCCGGGTCCGACGCCTCGTCCTCAACAACACTCAAGTGTCCTGGGACACCGTGCTGCTGCTCGCCAGGGAGATACCTGAGTAAGAAGAATAGTTGATCAGTGCTCCTCCGTTTCTCCGCAGGTTTGTCATTGTCTCAAAGAAGCAGAGCAAGGGACCAGTTCTCAATCCTGTGCTTTTGAGACTGAAGGAACTTCACAGTTTCACTGACTTTTTGCTGGTTTAGTAATTGGCTGACAAAAACGTCTGCCTATTCTTTAACGACACTGGCGCTTAATTCACTTAGTTTACCTCCCCAATTGAATGGAAGGGAATGGAATGTTGTTTGTGGTGTTCAGAGACTGAAAGTGCATATGTTTTATATTCTGTTTAAATGTTGTTTTTTCACATGCAGAGCGATATTAAAGTAATCATCTCACCCCGAACAGGTTTAGACCAAACATATATAACTCACAGGTGTTTACATAAGATAAGCCTTTATCGATCCCTAGGGGGGAATGAAGGTGACAAAGTCAGGGAAGTAACAACGGCTGAATAGATAAATAGTATGAAGTATTTACAGTTTTTAAAATAAGTAAAATAAAATTTAAAATAAAATAAGAATTGAAATTAAAATGAAAACGATAGAAGAGAAATTTAAGTCAAAATAACAAGGCAAGCAGTACACATACAGTACCCTAATAGTGTAGTACCGCCTCAAAGCAAACAGTGAAAAAATTGTGTTGTATGTGTAATATACTACACACCAGATGTTTTCTTGGATATTATGTCTATATCTGTTATACTATATATACTATATACAATGAACTGTAATTTTATAAGTCTTAAGAGTAAGTTATAGTTAAAGTAATAATATGATACAAACTATTATAACAGAATACAATATAATATGATATATCTATGTCTGTATTCATAATAATATAAGTATAATTATTTAATAGTATATAATGTAATAATTTAGTATGACATGTATTATAACATCATATAGTATTATATAGTATAGTATAGTATAATATTAAATGGTATAGCATAGTATAGTATTAAATATTATAATATAGTATAGTATAACAATAAATAGTATTGTATAATATTAAATAGTGTGGTATAGTATAGTATAATATTAAATAGTATATATAGTATAGTATAGTATAGTATAGTATAATATAGTATTGTATGATATAGTATAATATTAAATAGTATATATAGTATAGTATAATATTAAATAGTATAGTATAATATAATATAAATTTAAATAATATAGTATAGTATAGCATAGTATCGTATTGTATAATATAGTATAATATTAAATAGTATAGTATAAAGTATACAATATACTATATTAATTAATCAGCTGGACAATGAAGAGTGAGCGTGGGTGAGTGTCCCTAGTGTGAAAGTTGGATGTATGGTATGGGTTGTGTGCATCTAGTTTTTATACCCAATCAACCCTTTTAAAAATCACTGCCCCTACATTGTCCTCAGTAGGGCCACAGCAGTCCTGTTCTATTTTCCACAACAGTCCTCCTCACCCTCCACCCTGCTTTCTCCTGTGTTGTCCTGCAGGCTGGAGGAGTTGTTCCTGTGCCATAATGAGTACACTAGTGTGAGTGCCTCCAGTGTGGCCTGCCCCACCCTACGCCTGCTTCACATCACCGACAACAGCCTCAAAGACTGGGCCGAAGTCCGCAAGTTTGGCTCCATGTTCCCCAGCCTGCACACTCTGGTCATGGCCAATAACAACTTGGCCTCCATTCAGGACAGTAAGGATATCCTGCCACGGCTCTTCCCCAACCTACGCAGCATGAACCTGCACAACTCAGGTCAGTGGAGCTAAGTGTCGGCCTGTTGTTTGTGTGATTTAACATTTAAACACACACAGTTTTAAATTAGTGTTTTAGTGTCTCAAGATGGTGTGGTTCTAGGTGGAGACACTGAATTGCCTCAGATTCTCAGTTTACAGGTTTTTCTGAGTGTGTCCAGAATGACAGTATCAGCATCTACGTGATAAAGTTAGCATAAGCAAAAATGTCACTGTATCCTAGAAAGCTTTGTGTTATTTGTAGAGTCTTACAATAGATTCTTCTCCACGTCAGCTTTTATCTCAGGAATTGTTTCTATTTTGGGGGGTATCAGTGGTGAATCTATTTTTAGAGTTCTGTTGAGAGGGGACTAAAACAATATCCAAAGACGTGTTCAGAATGACTTCAGTGCGTTATATCTCCTTCGCCTGAGGCACAAAAAAACATCCTTCTTGCAAGTCGCTTTGTCTCAAATTATGCCCCCAAGACTTATTTTTCTTAAAACAAAAATGAATTCTGCTCCCAGGCTGAGATGATTTCACCAGTGCAGTTGCCCTTGTTTCAGGGATTTTAGACTTGAAACAAGAAATAATAAGGCAGCAAAGATCGCGGCCTAGGATTAAGATTTTGACTTAAAGGATTATTTTTTACTGTCAACAAATCTGAAAAAGACCAAAACCAAAAATGTCCATCTGTCGTTACTTCCCTACCCTGTCTGTTGCTCTCAGTCCCGTTAGTTCCTCCTGAAGATTTGGTTTTAGGAAAAAGGCTAAATGAAAGGTTTTTTATCCCCTATACCTGATAGGTGAAGATAGACAGGAAAGGGGGGGGGGGGGGATGACATGCAACAATGGACCGCAGGTTGGAATCGAACCCAGGCTACTGCAGTAAGGACTCATGGCATGGGACCATACACCCCTAACAAGGAGTAGTCCTGCTCTATTTGAGAAAACTTTTGTTATGAATTTGCGTAGTGAGTATTTGGGGCAGCAGGATGTGTATGTATGTGGGACTGAGTCAAACTAAACAACAGTGTGTGGTAATGAAGGAACCCGTCACCCAGTGCAACAGTGTGACTCACTGGTGTGTTTTTAATAGTTTTTGGACAACACTGGAGCTCTGTGGCACAGAGGAGTAAGATATATCAGGCTTTGGATACATTAATTGTTGGTTTTCATCTTGTCTTGGCAATTCCTGACAATAAGCAAAATATAGCCTATCACCAGACTTTTATTGCTTATTCTTTTAGTAGAGGAATACTTTTCCCTTTTTCTTTTTTTTTTTTTAACTGTCCTTTTTAGATATTACCAGTCAGCTGAAGGACATGAACTAGTGTCTAGCTTTGTCAGGTTAAACCCTAATCAAATAAAATTTGTGTTATTTTGATTTCATGGCCAGCGTAGGCAGCTGAATCAGCTCAATTGTGGCTGAGTGTGAGGAAACACGTGTGTATCAGTACCAAAGGACAAAATGTGATATCAGTCTAGTACATACAGTACTGTATGTGGCTGCCAAATGTCTAGGTTTTAGGGGTTTGGATTTGGGACGGTTTAGGCTGTGAAGCTCAGGCTAGCTCTTGGCCTTTGACTGAGTATGCTGACATGTTATGCATTAAGTCCAGCAACAACAACTATAGATCCAACTATCATATAGCTGGATTTAGGCTTCTGTAGGGTACATTTTGTGAGCTGATGAGAGAGGAGAAACTTAACAAAAATGTGTATTATTTGTGTTCTTGTAAATTTTCCTTGTAAAAAAACACTGTCAGATCACTATACCTGCCTGTCAGCTACTCTACTACTACTGCTCTTAGGTGTTTGAACACACTGCCTCAACTGATTTCACCAAAAATGTATGTAAAATTTCACATATACAGTGAACAGTAACTAATATAGGCTACTTTGTCGCCTGTGGAGAAAGTACCTAGACTCCCTCAAATAATTACGCAAGTTTGTGAGTTACTATGAAATGCTGTCTATAACAAGTTCTTAAATATTTGGGCCTTCTTGTAAACTTAGCTAATGTTCTACTTTAAGTTTTTTCATTGTTTGTGTAAAAACCCTTGTGTCTGTTGGCTACTACTGTTGTGCCGCTGGTTAAAAACACATTTGGTCTTTGCAAACCAAAAGTATATACGTATTTATTTGCATTTCTAATGCCAAAAGTGAACTAGCATACCACTGCTGTTTCTTTGTCCTAGATGTCTGAAACAGACTTGTCTGTGCGTGTGTTTGTGTGTGTGTTGTCAGGTCTCAACCGATGGGACGACATTGAGAAGCTGAACTTCTTCCCGAAGCTGGAGGAAGTGCGGCTGCAGGGCATTCCCTTACTGCAGACCTACACCAACGCAGAGCGACGCAGCCTCATGATAGCACAGTGAGTCCCAGCAATGACATCAGTGAGAATGGACCTCCTTTGCAGTAGACTGAGAGGTTGTTTTGTTTTCTCCTGCACACTAAGGAGGACCCGACACCAGCCAATAATCTGGTACATTTGCAACTGTATAATACAGTACTTATGTGCTATCCCTCAGACTCCCTTCAATATCGCTGCTAAATGGCAGCGCTGTGACTGATAGTGAGAGAGAGGATGCAGAGAGGTTCTTCATCCGTTACTACTTAGACTACCCTGAGGAGGAGCTGCCTTATAGGTACACTGCACTCACTGACTGAACTCACTAGCAATGCTTTTTATTGTGTGTGTGTGTGTGTGTGTGTGCTGCTACGACCGATGGAACAACCCGCTCTTTTCATCCACAGATACCATTCCTTGGTAACCAAGTACGGGAAGCTGGAACCACTTGCTGAGATTGACCTACGACCTCGCTGTCGTGCCCAGGTGGAGGTTCACTGCGAGGAAAAAGTGGAACAGGTGCGTTAAGCATGAATGGGGTATTGTTCTGAGTAGTTCACAAATGTAGAATAAGTTGAGAGGCAGGGCTTCAAGTGATATCGTGTGACCATACTCCCTTTTGTCACTCCTGTGCCAATCCTGTTGAGTGTGTCTTCAGTAAATGTAATTATTGTCCTGCGTCAGTACTGTGTCTTTCACTAATTGGTGCACAAGGGTATCTTCAATATTGGTATAAGCACCAATCTAGCTCTCAGTTTCTCGTGGTTGCACCAGCAGATAAAGTTTCCTATGTCGGTGGCTCACAATGACTCCTGCAACCTCCATGAGACCTACCATTGTGAAAGACTAATTGATAAAACACATCATGGGAATCCACATGATGTTATTAACCCCTCTTTAATGACTAACGAACAAACATGTTTCTACAGTAGGGACAAACCAAACACTAGACAGGGCCCTTAGCGTTTATCACAAGTTTCACAGCTACCACAGTTTCTCCTTTACACTTTGAAGGGTGAGTGGTATTCAGTTGGCTGCAATCTGCAACTACACTAGCTGGATGCTACTAAATCCTACACACTGGCCCTTTAAATATAGGTAAGTGTATATGGTAAATCATGATTTGGCATGGAGAGGGTGAGAGTCACTGTCCATGATGCATTTTGTGCAACATCCTCCTCTCTGACACCACCACCAAGGAAAACACAACGCCACAGTAAACATGTTGTCCGTAAAACTTCCTAATTACGACCAGTCAGTAAAAGTGGTAGTGCATTTCCCCAGTAGGACCTGTGTGCCATTTTAAGAAATACTAGACGTTTAGTACAAATCTTATCAAAGAGCTGTACTGTTAATGAGTTACAGGAGAGCTTCGTTTTTTAAAACATGGTTGTTATTGTCATGGTTTAACACTGTTTGTGTTCAGTCTGTACACCTTTTGGACAATCCACAGTGTAAACATTAATTTTTAATAACAAACTATGAACATTTTGATGAACAGGTGATCTTACGAAATTCATTGCTACTACATGTTGTACCAGAACACAGCATCTCACACCATAACAAATGGGTGCTACAGCACACCAGACTCCATTGACAGAACCAGTAATTTTACCATGCAGATAATTGTAAAACACACTTCAAACTGGACAGAAACAAAATAAAACTCACCAAAACTAGCTTTAAAATAAAACCCTTAATTCACAGAGTTAGATGCGAAAATATTTGCAAAATGGGCTGCTATGGCCACAACTTAATCCTTCTAATGTCAAAGTACGTCCACTAAAAGTGCTTGTTGTTGCCACTGACAGGCTCAGATTGTTATTCTAAGCCTCTGACAATATTATGGAAAGGATCCCTACAGAGGCAAACCTTTTGTTTAAGCAGAAACAGCTGTAATATCACTATCACACACCACCAAATTTAATGGACATAAACAGTAATTTTACCTCACACATCATCATAACATCATAACTTTATTCAAAGTGGTTTGAATCAAAATAAAACTCACCAAAGCTGTCTTTCCACTGTTCCAACAATCACCAGCTCTGGTTTGGTCGTAAACAAATCCTTAGTTTACAGAGAAAGAGGAGAAAAACTGCCATTTTAGTTGCTTTCCTCAAAGTCAACAGTTGCACATGGAGAGACTCACATGCAACATGGCCAGATCAGAGAAGTGAACAATGTTCTAGGAGCAAATCAGGGAGAGGAATGTAATTCTCAGCTCAGGACACCTGAACTCCACTATATATATTTACAAGGCAAATAGTTAATTCTAGATTTTGTGTATATATAACCTTTAAACCCATGGCCAGGCTTATGTTTGCCTGTATAAACATAGCTATCAACCCTTTGTCTTAAAGCCACCATGTGCAGAATTTAAACTTCCGGACTTTGGCCTATTGTACTTTTGTAATTATGTTTTGAATGAGATGGGTGTCAGTTTAATGGTAAAATGTAGAAACTGTTTGTCTTTGTGTCAGCTGAACATCCGTTTGGACCAGACAGTAGCTGAGCTGAAGAAGCAGCTGACAACAGTGGTCCAGCTGTCCACCAACAGTATGAGGCTCTATTACATCGACAAGTGCAGCGTCTTCGGTCCGGAGGAAATGAGGTACAACACCCGGGCTCTCCACTCTTACAGCATCCAAGACGGTGATGAAATACTGGTGGTGCCCAAGACCAAGTGAACAGCTGGTATCAAACTAGCTGATTGGAGTGACTCACTGAATGATTGATTAATTGGATTATTTGTTGATTGGTTAACTGACATCACAAAATAACTGGGAAATGCCTATGGAACAGCATCAGCGGCCCACTTGGAATGGGAGCAAAACAAGAAAATGATGTGTACACCATCATGAAGACTGCACAGTGGACTACAGTGGGCTGCTGGGAGGCTCTGGCTGGAAATGCAGCCAGTCTGGAAAGAATATTATCTTTATTTATTTCAGCTTTATTTGAGGGCATCCACTGGAGTTAGTGGACAAATCTGTCACACTGGAGAACAGGCTGAGAGAGCAACTCGCAGTCAGCTAGCAGCTTAAGCAGAGGGGAGGGCACTGCTGTACCAGCAAAGCAGCTCTATCTCTTAGTACGCTGCATGTACCATAGCACCTGTCCTGCATAGGCAGGTATCCAACACCACTGACTTGCCCACTTAGTCACAAATGCTACGCTGATTAGTAGTGAGGCAGTTCTACAGAGTGGAGAAACAGGGCTGCACTCATCTGAACTTTTAAAGTGGCCACAGTATCAGGAAGAGCTGTTGCTAAAGGAAAAATCATGCCCAAAACACTGGTAAATGCAGTGATTTGTGATGAAAGTAGCATTTCTTTGGTTCATTGTGTTGTTTGGTGGTGTTTGTTTTTCATATTTCTGTGGATAATTTGCCAAAGTTAGAAGATGCTACATTATATTCAGATTGTTTGACAAAATACCATCAGAATCAAAAAGCAAGGGATTCTTTCTAGAGCCGTAATGACAATCAGCAATGTGTGAAATGTGTCCTAGGAAATGCAGATTTAAAAATCCTGAAAGGTCACTCCAGATATTTTTCAATGTAAAAATATATTCTACTTTGAATAATAATTTGAGTTTGATATGGAGTTTTGACAAACAAGTTAGCAGGGATGGGCCTTTAAAGTCATTTCCATATTTGAGTGCTCACATTGAATTATTAAGGTTGTGAACTACTCGCAAAAAATATCCTCTTGCAAAGCCTCCTCTTTCCACAAAGATTAACAGGACCGTGTGTCACTATTTTTATTATGACCCGGCCAAACTTCTCTGTCCTAGTAGCACCACAATGGCCCTAGCTAATACGGCTAACGTTAGCAAATGGGGGGATGAAATGTTGCCTGTTATTTGTCTCTGCTGATTTCTCCTTATGTTTAATCCCCAAATGTTTAATCATCTAACTGGTTGCACCGCACGTTCATATCGTAAATTTTTGTCATTCTGCCTGTAATGTTAGATGAGTGATGTGTGACTGAAAGCGTTGAACATTATCTGCGGCCGAAGATGCGAATATCTAAATGCGAGTACTCGATACGTTGAGCGAATACTGACATCTAAACGAACACTCATGCTCATCCCTACAGGTTAGTAAGTTATAGATCAATTTACTCCCTCTCCCTCAGTGAAAAATCCCAAATCGGTAAATATGCAAATGTTTTAATTAATTACAAAAGTTAAACTGCTGGATATGAGATCTTCTTATTAAGTTCCATTTGTAGTGTACATGCCCTGCAGGCTTCACATTTTCAGTTAAGTACTGCATCAGGATTGGCTTCCAAACTAGCATGTTTGTACACATGTTAAACTGAGATTTATGGTTTATTTCTAGTGTCAAACTGCACAGTGAAGATTCAACGTTAAAGTTAAGTAACAATAAGAAAAACAAATTTTTGACACATTTAAAGTGAAAGGCAGGCAGGCAATAGGTGAGGCAGATTAAAGCGTTTAAAGCAATTGAAGTGGGGTTTTATGAGGTACTTACAGGAGAACCGACATGGAAGCAGAACAGTGTACTACTGTGGACAGGGGCAGCAGAAAAACACATTTTAGCCACCTAAAAAAGGCCTACCTACAAAGATATATATTCACCACTTTCATCCAGCCCTTTCTGACAGGAAACTGAAGCTTTTATATCCATCTGTGCTCTTTCAGAGCCACCAGACTCCTTTGAGAACAGCTGTAATTTTACCTCGCTCTACATGGGAGTTGTTGGTCTTTTGTCAGTTGTCTGTTAGCAGTATAATAAGGTTCAGTTTCCCTTTGGACTTTCTGGCAGCAAGGTAAGGTGGTGAAAATATTCTAAATATAGCGTACACTTGCACTGATATAGATTACGTTTTGTTGCTGTCCCCGTCCACAACAGTGCATCGCTTAGCTTCCATGCTGGTACTCCTGTATGCTTCTCCAAACTATGGATTGTGCCAACAGCCACCTACTGTAAGTAATACACTGACTATGGATAAGTAAACAAGTACCTCATAGAACCCCACTTTAAAGTGAACTGTCACTTTCAAGGAGAATTGGCTGTAAAAAATAAAAATTAATTAACACCACTTTATGACAAAATGGCTTCAAGAGTGCAAACTTGATGATATCTAACAGTGTATTGATATCTCCTTTTCCTGTTACGTGTTTTCTACATGTGTTTTGTGGACTTGCTTACGACCGCAAGTGGGGGGGGGGCACTGCAAGAGTATGGGGTACCGGGGCCATTGCTGCCAGGCATCTGGTCCTTGTATAACCAGAGTGATAGCTGTGTCTATTGTTTAGTCAGGAAGTCACACGTATTTTCAGTTGGTGTCGGGCTTCGTCAGGGTTGTCCCTTGTCACAGTTATGTTTGTGGATAGGATCTAAAGGTGCAGCTGGGGGTTTGGGGACCTCAGGATTGCTTCTCTGCTTTTTGCAGATGATGTGGTTCTGTTGGCTTCATCAGATCATGACCTTTAACATGCACCAAGATGGTGTGGTCAGAATAAGTTTCAGAACCTAAAACTAAACTAACTAAAAAGGCCATTGGTTCTCTGCTAGAGGTGAGTGGATTTCTGCCTCTGAGTCTTTAGCGAGTTGTTGGAAAAGGTAGAAGGAGTTCAAGTGTCTCTGGCTCTTGTTCAAGAGTGAGGGCAAAACAGAGAACAACAGGTGGATTGGCTTTTTGCGTCTGCAGTAATGCGGCCATTGTACCGGACCGTTGTGGTGAAGAGGGAGCTGAGCCAGGAGCCAAAGCTTTCAAGTTACCAGTCCATCTATGTTCCAACCCTCTCTTATAGTCATGAACTTTGGGTGGTGACCGAAAGAATGAGATGGCAGAAACAAGTGGCCAAAAAGAGTTTCCTCCATGCGGTGGTTGGGCTCAGCCTTAGAGAAGGAGCTCAGACATCCGGGGGAATCTCGGAGTAGAGCTGCTCCTCCTTCACATTGAAAGGAGCCAGTTGAGGTAGTTCAGGTTCAGGTAGTTCATGTTATTGTGTTTCTTACCACAAAACAAATACTATATGCACACATGTATACACTCACACATACCCACACAGGTTACCACAAAGCAGCTGTTGTGTCATATGTGCTGCCCCCTACACGCTACACTGTATATTTCATAAACAAATTTGCTTTGCCACTACAGTAACTTCACTAGATGAGGGTTTTTTTGTGAGGTGTGAAGTGACACACACACTACGGTAAAAGACAATCTCTCAGTGCACATTCTGCGTAGGAGCAGTATGAAGGCACATCTTATCTATTCCAACATCATGTAAGTGTAGGATTATTACATGCATCCATCAATCCATCATTTAGCTATACCTGCTAATCCAGATCCTTTTTTATTCATTTGTGCACTTTCTAGGGAGCAAAATATGGTTGTGAGTTTGTCATTGTTATCTATGTTAGAATCTATTAAAATGTTTTTAAGAGGTTAGCATTCCATTTTTTAAATGCTCAATTTTTTCTCATGTAAGTTATATCATTGCAAAATTTCTGTAATTAATTGCACATGATCTTGTTTTATGGACCTTTAAATGCTTCATCAATGCATACTATACTCATATAATTAGTAGTTTTCGTTGGACACAAATCTCAGTTTAGTGCATGTGCCAATTATTCAGTGAAGTATTTCTAAAAGTATTTCCTTTTATCCGCGTTTCATCTGCTCCACATTAGTGTATTCTACATTTCGCTCCACCCTGCACAGAAATATTTCCACCAAAGATAGCTCATTAGGGTATCATTAATATAATGTGGAATATGTACCGTATGTATTGATTTTAATACACAGCCTCCACCTTGTATATGAGGAGCATTGATGTTTGATGTTTGGTGCTATTGATTTTTCCTATAGCAAGCAACTTAGCAGAGTAGGGGATTCCTGACAGTGTGCAGTGTTATGGCTATGGACTGATTGGTCAAGCATTCACATGTAGTGGCTGTTTGGAAACAAATATGTGTCTCAGTTCATCTGCTGTTAGAAAACTCAGCTCAGTGTGCTTTGGCCTCTCTTTAACAGTGTTTTAACCTCCCAAAGTATCGATATCTCAAGTATGTAAATGCCACAACATTTCCTTCCTTATTATTATAATTTACCAGTTTTATAACGCAACTGCTATACTTGAATATTAGAAAGTGTGAGATAATAAGACTAGGGACTTAAGTATGACGGTGTAGCAATGACACACAGCAGGTTAGATGAAAAGAGTTCAAACACTGGGACTCGCTTCCCCATTTTATCACAGTAGTGCTGATTAAATGTTAGCATAGCATGAACCACAGCCATAGAAACCAGCACGGAGAGAGTCAGCAGTGCAGTGCTGGCACCGACTTAAGTATTGAATTATAGTGTCTGTGCTAATCAGTGTGAGATTTGTTTGAAGCGCGAACATGTGGTATGTTATTGTTTGCAGGGTGGGTGATTGTTTTTGGTATGCATGTTATTTTTTGACTTTATGTGTTTGTGAGGAAAGTGGTCACAATGCCTGCTTAGATTTATGGAATTATGAACTTGATGGAACTTTGTTTTACATTAAGCCCAAGAAAAACATTTGAAGTTTGATGTCAATTTATTGTTTACTTGTTGATTTCATCCAGATTTTTTTTTTTAAGAATATGTTATCATGTTATTTATTGTGTCTACTGATTACTGTCCAACTATGACAAGCCGAAGATATTGGCTAAGGCATTTTAAAGCACTTAAAGCCCCTGAAAACTTGATTTTAGTTATCTCTGTAACATTTAAGATTCATGACTAATAAAGCAACAATCAAAGTTAGGGAAAAAATACTTATTATTTATGAAGAGTGCAACAATAATTCACCTAATCCGCTTCATCAAGAATGTGTGGGTGTGATTTGATCAGATTTGACTGACAGTGGCTCACATTTTGGTAAATTTTGTGACATAAACTTTTTCCAGCTGACACCAACCCATTCAAACCAGTGAATAGAACTCTGACAGAACCAATAAATACAAAAACTTCTTGTAAAAATAGTAGAAAATAATGCGTTTATGTAACACTGATAGTAACAAGCTGATACAACCTTTTTTATGGAAAATTCCATCCTCACATCCTTTAACACACATTGGTAGTGCACTGTGTGTAGTTATTTGGTCATTCTGTTGTGTGCTGCAATTGTTACATTACTCTCACTGACTGGACCATCAACAGTAAACCTCAGATTTTGGTATTACTCTCAGAGAATCATACTGTGAGTCCTTCTAGAGTCACATTTTATTTATCATTCAACAGTTGTACAGGGACATTCATCATAAGACAAAGATAGTAATTCCACCAGCAGCAACCTCAATACAACAGAATGCATTACGGTTGTTTGAGTAAAAAGTGTTGTTAAACTCTCGTTTTGCTTCTACCATCACTATCAATCCAATAGCTTTCACTGTATTGATTTATAATCCAGAAATGAATACCATACTTATAAGCTTTCTTAGCATAAAGACTGGAAACGGAGGGAAACAGCTAGCCTGGCTCGGTCCAAAGGTAACAAAATCTGTCTACCAGCACCTCTAAAGTGCACAAATTAACATGTTATATCTTGTTTGTTCAAACCTTACAAAAAACTATGGTGTAAATATGACAGGTTGCAGTTTAATGGTGGTTATGTGCTGAACTTGTTGTTTATACACTTAGTAATGAGCTTTAGAGTTGCACACTGCCAGACAGTGAATACATTTTCAAAAATATCAAACTGTTGCTTCAAAGGAGTCCTTGGGGGATCATTAGTTCATTAATTGGAGTAGTGAAAATACCTCCTGAAGAGTAACTCAGGGTGGATTTTCCCTTTTAAATGTAATAAACTATAATCTATTAACACCCTGTCTATTACTTAAAACCTGTGCAGTCAGTTCAGATTGTAAGAAGCAAGTGAGCAAATGAGGAAAGTTGAAGAAAAATACTGCACAGCCTCTCAGAAACGTGATAAACTGACCTCAGTGCAGTTAAAAAAAATAAACCCTCAGTTAGATTAGTGCTTGACTGCTGAAATTGAGATAATTCTTACTGTACATTTAAAAGCTCCATATTTCCTTTGCTTACTTAACCCCTTTAGACCCGCCTTATGTTCCAAGGTTGTGAAAAATATAATAATGACTTATTCCCATCCTTAATGCAACCAGAAATGAGAATCAATAAAACAAATTTAATTGTTATTTTTCTTGTCCATTTCAATGGACATCGGGTCCAAACAGTTGTTAAAATACCAACATCATATGACAACATCATACCAATTTTTTGTCTGTTAAATGTTGCAAAAAGTAAAAAAGAAGCCCCTGTCAAGTGACGTCTATTGTAATGGACACAGGGTCTGAAGGGGTTAAATAGTCAACACATAATGCTAGACATCTGGCAGGAGCACATCCTGTTTGAATGGAAACCTAAATAGATACTCCAGCTATATCAGTAAATACACACCTTGAGTCATCATCTGCCTCCAAGAGTGGTGCACCAGAGCTCACGTGGATCTCAGAAGGCTATATTTGTCTTTGATTATAGTGTTATAGATTTTGGTTGGGCTAAATGGGCAGGTTTCCCCCCCGCTTAGACTTATAGACACCAGTATTTAAGCTAATCAGTTCACTCAAGTATATGTAACACGGGACTGTTCATAATCTGTGGCAATTTAAGCATAATAATTTGTTTTGTAGGAACCTATATGAAGTATTAAATGGAACAGAATGAGTCATCTTTCTTGTATTAGTATATGTAGAGAGAGATGCGTCACTGAATGGTAATAAATGGCAGTCTCCCTCTTCAGTGTGTGACACTTTGTTTCATTCACAACAGCAGCTTTGAAGGCATGTCGGGGTCCGGATGTGTTTTATGTTACAGATGGTTATACTGCAGTATGATTTTATGAGTGATTCACTTTAATGCAGCCCTTCACACACTCCAGCATGAACAACTACTTGAGTGCTGGAACTTGTAATACTTAAACAATCTCAGACATGATCTATAAGGAGAGCTGGTTCAATATTCGACCCAACCAAACATTAGTTCAGTGAAATGTAGGCCTATGTTATACTCAACTTGAGTATTGTACAATTAAAAGTCATGTTGAATAATATTCATATGAATTCAATATAATATAAAATGTTTAATTTATTTATTTAACTCCATTTTCCTTTACTAGTCCGTGACTTATGAGAGATTCTGAACATCACAAAATAATGTCTTCTAAGAATGGGTTTAGGTATAAGGTTTTAGCAGCAATAGAGCAGATGTAAAACATGTAACAGTACTCTGATGAACAGTCATCTCTTTGGTAGATGAGGTACTTATTCCATATTCACTATTTATTCTTATTTAATTACTTAATCCCATTAGTTATAACATTGTTCCTATATTACTACTAAAAAAGAGCCACAGAATAGGAAAAATTATCACAGTGTCATCTGTCTTTTTACACAGCAGATACCGATATCACCATTTTTGGTTAAAGCTTATGGTTAAATAAATACTGTACATACATTTGAGTTCTCCTCTAGGCTTCTCGTGTAAAACGTGTGCACTTATTGGGTGTAGTAAGCACTATGTTTTAGTAGTATTTACCACAAAGCTAAGCTGAAAATGACCCCTTATTGGAAACGAGTATCCTTCTTTCCCATACACATGAACGTAGCATTTTTTCAATGAAAGAAATCTCTGATGTTTACGTTCATCTCCATGGCGACGGTGTAGGAGGCGGTTCGCTGTTCTGGATGGTGACGCTCACAGAGAGGTATGAACCAATCAGAGAGCAGCTCTGTAACCGGACTGACGTCACCGTTAAAGCGAAAAGAACCGTTACTTGGTTGCTAAACTCTACAACTGCAAGGGGATAGAAGATATGGCTGAATACCAGCGTAGTCTTGATTAAAGCCCATGGCGGCTGTTTCGTATATACAACATTATCGACCAGCCTTCACAGCAACTTAAGTAATGGTCTAAAAAAGCAGCACAGCCCAGCCACAGAGATACTTTTTGGGGGCGTTTCGATGCCCGTTTGGACCGGGATGATCTCCAACTGTGAGGTGAGTGAATGCAGTTAACTGGCTACCTTACACCACCATAACCCTGATAGGTACTGTGCTCTCCTCTGCACAGAAGCACCAGCCAAACTCCTACCAAACTCTGCCAATGCTGCGTTACCTTGCTTGTCGGGAATTAACACATTTTAGAAGTCACAATGAGCCATTTAGACGTGAGACACGACTGCGAAACAGCTCTGTACGTTATTTCTGTATAATTTCAAGTTTCAAGACAGGTACATGAACCGAGCTGCGGTGTGTTCAAGGAACTCTAAAAGTCCAGCTCTTGCCTTTCTTATTCTGTCGGACATAGCGACGAATAAGAGAGGAATGGTGTCCTCGCAAGTTTAAAGGTCATAGCCATGTTATTACCCGTGAAATGTATATGGTTTGCATATAAGCAGTGCCACAGTTCACTGAATACATTGGCGTAGCGCCGCTGCTGTCCTGGCTACACCGATACAGTAGTTAGCTGACGAGATAACGTTAGCTAACGTTAGTTAACTAACAGACGTTCACCGTGGTTACACAGACAAAATAACCACGTAGGTTAGTTAATAAGCGTTGTATTAACTTTGTACTTCGCTGTCCCCCAGTCAAAGGGACTTGAGGGGCGATAAGTTTTCGCTGTTTCAATCTCCTCTCCGCCCCCTTCATGGACAGTACTCTGTCAAAGCTGCCCCGCTTCCATTACCGAGCAACGCAATGCTTATCTTATCCCGTGTGGAATAGCGTTATCCACATACTGTGTGAGCAACCATTCAAATGCATTGATATTTGCCTCATATCAGTGTGCTGCTCAGAGCCGTGTACAAACGGCCGCACTGCAGTGCATCAACTATGGCTTCTGTGCCAGTGTGTCGTCCCATCTCCTCCTAATGCCATGTAATGCTATACCCCTCACAGAGACCGTCCACCTCGGTACTACGTCTGTCTTTTTCCATTGTCCTGCACACATACGTCAACTGTTTTCCTGTGCTAGGAAATACTCCATTTCATTTGGTAATTTACTGGTAGTGTATGTTGTTCATGCACCAGCATTGCAGCTATATGGTATACATGTGTGGGGAGAATAAGGGAGACATGGTAGACAATGACTTACATTTTGAAGACGTTTTGATTACATGTGGAAGATATGACATAAAGCTGAAGTGTAATTAGATTCATCAGTGTTGAAACTGGTGTTGATATGTGAAATTTCAGAACAACGGACAGCCAACAAATTACTTAGAATGATAGTCTGGAGATACTGTGTACACCATACATTATCTATGGCATTTGCTATGCAGTGGCACTATCGCTGGAGGAACTCAGGATGAATCATGATCCATCCAGCGAAGCTTGCCACTCACTTAAGATTTTAATTTCTGTGAAAGCAGCCAATCTGCTGGCTAAAGCAGTGTGCTGGACTTGATGCTTACCCAGCTTGGCTTATAAAAAGCCTTAATGCTAGTCCTTTAAGAGCAAATTGGAATGCCACTGAGTGTTGAGTGACCTGTAGAGGTCATAGGCGTCTGCTATATTTACCGGCTCTGTAACTTGATCTGTGGCATTCTGGATCGCTGTGCTCATACTATCCTCTCACACTCTGGGGCCACAGCCTCCCAAGTAGCACCCCATTGCTTTCTGTCTATTGGCCTGGCCGCTCAGAACAACAAGGGTGAGCCTTTTACAAACCAACTTAACCGCCACTCTTCCTCCCTTTTCTTCTTTTAGGTACCTGCTTGTGGGCTGTTTGCTCCGCTGTAAGGGTACGTCTTCCCAGGGAGACAACGATAGAGGACAGGGGATAATGTTTCAGAAAGTTCTGGATTTTTCTAGCATGACTACAAGAGCTGTGAGCAAGTCTCCGGGTAGGGCATATCACCAGCTGATATGTGTGAAGTTTTGCATCGGATAATGAAAATATGTATAGCAGCTGGTTGTGATGGCAAAATATAGCTTTTAAACAAGTGCTGGAAGAGCCACATAATGAAGCAGCGTGAGGAGGAGTCAACCTATCAACCTTCTCTTTACCTGAGGTTTATAATTGAGCAACTTTTCCGGATTTGATAATACGAGCTGAAGGATGCATCATCAATCTTTAATGGTTGGACATGAAATCTGGAGAATCCGTTGCCCGGTGGCCTGTGTGCTCACTTCATGCCGAACATGTCTTCTGTGAGAGACACCCCAAAACAGGCCACGGAGACGTTGATTTCTGCTAACTTTGTCCATTTACAGGCCTATAGGCATTATGATATTTCTCATGTGCAACATTTGCTATCGTCTGTCCAACTAGATAGTTTGATAGTGGTGTTTGACACCACATGATCTAGTGATACTATATTCGCCTGTTTCAGACTACACAAAAAAAATCCCCAGTCAACAGACAAAGACGAAAAAGTTTTCAGTGTTGTGTGCTGCGTGGTATATGTCATCTAACAGGTCTGTGTGTTTCTACAGGAGTGATCAGTGTCACAAAGCCTGTGTGTGTGTACACTGTGGGGTAGCAACACTAGAATGAGCCGCCCCCGAGCCATCACAGTCTGCAGGGACTGACACACACCGCTACAAATACGGCAGGTAACTACTTCACACACACACAAACAGAAGCTGTCCCAGTTGACAGTGACAGTCTTAAGTATCCTAAGTACATACTTAGTGCATTCCTGTTTTACGTTACTGATTGCATGGTTCAGATGTATCACAGCACAACTGACTAGTCCCTTTTAGAGTCAGAAAAATAAGATAATAATAATAATAAAATAAGTTATTTATTATGTGTCAGCTTACCAGTGATTACTAAACTGTAATGGTGATGCTTTACATCAGTTTCTTCTCAGTTTACAGCAGTGCTGCCATGTAGACATTTAGACTATGACACTAATAGGACATTTAGATTGCAGCTTGCACTGCTAAAAGGGTTTCATGATGCCAGTATCGTTTAAAAAAAAATAAACAAGTGGGAAAAAAACATTCAACACTTTTGTTTGCACACACGCATTATCAACACATATCCACTGCATTAGACACAGAAACTGCCATGCAATGCATCTGTTAGATGATACAGTGGGTATTCAGATGTGCAGACTTCCAGTCCAGTTTATCTAGTGGATTTGAAGAGAAAAAATCAAGAGAAAGCAAATAGTTTTTAAGGAGCTATTTAAAGATGTGCACTGATTTGGCTTCTCTGTGATAATGAAGAAACAACAACAGCAAAAGCACCTTTAGTTTTCAGCCTCTATGTGGGAACAGCCAGAAGTCCCTGCTCTGATGATCTTCTAAAGGTCACAGGGCACAACACTTCCTCTGTATCTTAAAAGTGAGCCAATACACTGCACTGATAGATAAAAGTAGTGTTATATGGAATTTATGTTTAGTTTTTGTTTAAAACTGCATTGTTCTTGTAACAACTGTAGGTGAGATAGAGAATATTTTCTAAGGCAGGCAGAGTCAGTGCATTACAATAAGGGAAGCATAACTGTGCATAACAGTACGTGGTGGAACTAGACCGATATATCAGTCAATATCAACTCAATATCGTTTTTGGCGTAATGTCGGCTGATAATTAACAAAATGCTGTACAGAAGTTGTATCAATTAAAAACAGTGTCACCATTACATAGTTTGTCCACCAGAAAGCAGTGACAAGTTGACTTACAACTGTAAAATAGCCTGTTTTATATACATGTATCTTGGTCACAATTTGCAAATTAAATGGATTTAATTACCAAATATTGCTATCAGTATCTCCCTCAAAAATCCA